TTTAGGTTATAATATAAATTTTAATACTTAGATTTATATTAATATAATTAAAAGCCTTATTAATATATAATTTAACCTTACTTTTTACTTTTTAAATACTAATTATAATTATTTTTATAGTTTAATATATTTATATAAAAAATTAGCCTGCCTTAATATCTGGCCCGTCTTAGTATCCAGTACCACCTTTAGGTGGTGAGGGTAACCAGCCACCTAAAATATGTGGGGCGGGCACGATTAGAGGCCCGAGGGAGCGTGGAAAGCCTTGTCCATCGGCACGGGAACAATACGGCCAACGCGACGTCCCCGCCCAACGGACTCGACGTCATCAGCAGCCCGTAGCCCCTATCTAGGGGATTTGTTCCTGAGCCCGGCGTCTTCTTCTACCGTGGTTTGCTTGTTGTGCCCGCTGCGACTCTATCTCCTTGCTGCATGTGGGCATGACGGCTGTCGTGGTGCGCTGCCAAAGACTCACGCCTGATCGACCGTAGGAGGGCCAACCGGGATGTAAAGACTCCAAAGGCGGAGATGCCGTCATTCACGCCGAATATCTTGTGCCTTGGAAAAAAATTATTGGGCCTGACTGAAAGAGGTACAAGTGTAGGTATTGCGGCTCAAGAAAAAAAAGGCTGTTGAAATACAAAAAAAGAGTCGACAAGAGTGTGATTCGAACACACGCGGGCGAACCCAAAAGCTTTCGAGGCTTTCGCCTTAACCACTCGGCCATCTTGCCATACCGGGCGGCCCGCTTAATGCGCATTATAAAGCTTAGTGGAGGTGCTAGGCCGTCGTGGGACCGAATGCCCACGAGGAGCAGGCTCATCAACTTCCACATCCATTAGGACTACTGAATTCGCACAGGGGATAAGTTGAGGCAGTATGCCTTGCGAAGTATCTTGAATATGCTGCTCTTGCGATGCTGGCTGATGGCCGAGTGGAGATGCTTGGTGAGGCAGCCGGCCGGGACACAAGAAATGGATTGGATGCTCGGCGGCGCATTGGATCGAAAGTTGTTAATGGAGAGCTTTTCAAAAACTGGCATTGCATCGCAGAGGAGTTTGGTAGTGTCGATTTGACGTGCCAGTTGTCCGGCTTGTGACATGCCTCAACCTGAAATAAGTAATCTGACTAATATCCTATGTAAGTACCTACTTAGTAGGTATGCGGCGGTTAATCTACCAGGTTCTGCTACTGCAATTCTCCCTCTTTCTCTCTTTTATTTTCTTTGTTAACCCACCAGCCAAACAGAATCCTCGAGTAGCTCCTCTCCCAAAGTAAGCCGCGTATGTACAGACTACAGTGGGAGGCAAACAGCATTTGACCAGGGAAGGTACCTATCAATCGGCGCCTGATGCTATAATACACTACTACAGTATATTAGTGTATACTTTTTTGTTGGCGAATATATTTTACCACGTTCTGTAGTACCCGACTAAGGACCTTAAATTCGGGCCAGGAACATGAGGTGTCAGCTGAAAAACTCCAGTCTGGAATATAGAATACATGTAAGCCCCTTTGGTGCTTAAGCGACGGACACTAAACGGAGTATTTCCTTCAAGGCCGTGCATGTGATACACATTTGGAAATGTTGGCAGAAGAGTGCGTTTCTCCCGCAATGCCTACATAAAGCGAAGGGAGGCAAGAACCTCGCAAGAACTAGGTCCGATATGCAAAAGCGAATAGTAGGAATGCGAATACCCAGACTAGACAGACAGTATCGTCGCGCAAGACCTGCATGCAGTAAGGAGCAAATTTGAAGCTCCAGTTCGTCTCGTTTATAAATCATTGGCAATGTCCCTTCACCACGAGAATCAACGCTCTTTGCAATTGCATGCCGGCCACGAACCCGAATCGCATCAACGGCGACCAGTATCTCGTACCTATCCTCGAATTCTCCAACCACGATGCCGGGACGGCTGCATGTATAACAAACACCTTCCCAACAACTCCTACTAGCTCAAGAAGTGTAACAATGGACAGTGGCCTGGAGTCTGCAAGATATGGGCTGTCTACGCGGATGGCTTCAAAGCAGCCGACTTTGTCATTTACAACGTCATGTACCCCGACCAATGCAGTAAGTAGTTTGGTGCTGAGGCGGTAGCGGTGGGTGTACTTGGTTATCCTGCGACGTGCGTTTTTGTACTTGAGTTCCAATGAATCCATACTAGCATGGCTGTGTAATACATTCTTTGGATAGAAATAAATTCAGTTACTGCTATTTGTTTGTGGTGTTTACTGCCGGCAGGCCCTGTCGACTAATGTTGTCTGGGGTTGCGAGCCGGGCATTATCTGCATATAGGCGTCTCATGGCATTACTTTCACACTAATCAAGTCGATTTCAAGCACGCTTACATTTATAAGAGTTTGAAAAATAGTCCACGTGGCCCAAGTACATCTGACAGCTATATCCAGGAGTGAGCACTGAGCACAGCATCCAAGGGGCAGCACTCGACATCAACCCATAAAACCCATTCAGCATGAAACTGACCCAAGGCAAACAAACGACGCAGCAATTTACCCAGCTCACCCCAACTTGCATTACTTGCATTGCCATAAAAGCCATGACGGTGATACGCATAATACACGACAGACCCTTCCTCAGAGCCTGCTCCCACGGCGACCGGACCCCGACCCTGTCCAAAGCCGGGTGCGGGGCCGCCGGCTTCCTTCGACCTCGGCACTTACATTGAACCTCGCTCCATGCGCGCGCCTCATAAAGCCCATCTCATCCTCCAAGCGTCGCCAACTTCAGCTCCGTTCCGTCCAATTTCAACCAAAAAGCAAATATACACACAAAGTAACCTCCCGCGAGTCACATCCTCCTCCTCCTCCTCTAAAAAAAATATGACGGACCGCGTCGCCCAAATCTCCCAACACCTCAACTACCCGCGCGGCCTGCTCGCCAACCAAGTCGCCATCGTCACCGGCAGCGGCCAAGGCATCGGCGCCGAAACAGCCAGGCTATTCGCCAACGAAGGCGCCAAGGTTGTCGTCACCGACATTGACGCCGGTATGTCTCCCACCCCCCGCGGCATCATCAACACCCCCCAACCTAACAGGAGAAAACAACAGCCAAGAGCGATGCCGTAGCCGACGCCATCAACAAGTCAGGCGGGCAGGCCATCTCCGTCCCAGGAGACATCATGTCGCCGTCCTACATCCAGAGCCTCGTGTCCCAGGCGGCCTCGTTCGGCAACGGCAAGATCCACATCATCGTCAACAACGCCGGGTACACGTGGGACGGGGTCATCCACAAGATGACCGACAAGCAGTGGGACACCATCATCGCGCTGCACTGCACCGCGCCCTTCAACCTGGTGCGCGCGGCGGCGCCCTACTTCCGCGTCCGGGACGGCGAGCCGCGGTGCGTCGTCAACGTCTCCTCGACGAGCGGCGTGCACGGCAACGCCGGCCAGATCAACTACGCCCTCGCAAAGGCCGGCGTCACGGGCTTCACCAAGACCATCGCCAAGGAGTGGGGGCCGCGCTTCGGCGTGCGCGCCAACGCCGTCGCCTTTGGGCACATTGCCACGCGGCTGACGGCGGCCAAGGAGGAGGGCGCCTTCGTCGCCGGCCCGGACGGGCAGAGGATCGCGCTGGGCATCCCGCAGAAGCAGAAGCAGAAGGGCGCCGGGGCCGAGGGGGCCGCCGCTGCGTATGCCGATATTCCGCTCGGGAGGCCCGGCACGCCGGCGGAGGCGGCGGCGAGCATTCTGGCCGTCGCGAGTCCCTTGTTTTCCTACGTTTCTGGCCAGACCATCATGGTGACGGGGGGGAGGAACATGTAGACGCGGGCTTTTGGGGAATGTCGTCGATGGGGTTGCGTGTATTGTATGCGGATGACGCGGGCTGAGGCATGCTTGGTTTCGTGGGCCTGTGAAGATAAAGTCAGTACGGGAACCAATGCCTTCCAGTTGCCGGCCATGCTTTGACGTTGTGTTGACTGTGCCGTGTAATTACCACAAATCGAAATGACCTGGGCCTCAGGCGAGCATGCGTTTTTCTGATCCCGCTTCAGTGTACATATGTACTGTGGGCAAGCTTCGTTGGTTCTGGTAAAAAAAGGTATATTACAAGTAACGTAGCTTCCTCATTACTTTATGTTTCCGTCTCGGCCCATACATGTCCCATCCGTCTATACCTTCAACCACAATGAAAACACGCCCTTGGCGTACTCGACAATTTCTGAACCGCCGAGCTTGCTCTCGCCGTACAGCCTGTCCACAAACGAAATGGGCACCTCGGCGACCGTGCACCCCATGGCCTTGGCGCGAACCATCATTTCCATCTGGAAGCTGTAGCCCTTGCTCTCCGTGCTGCCAATCACCTTCTCCAACACGCTCTTCTTGTACAGCCGGAAACTACCCGTCAGATCGCTCACGCCGGGACGCAGCACCGTGTCCGCAAACAAGTTGGCGCCACGGCTGACAAACTTGCGCTTCAGGTCCCAGCCGTAGACGCCGCCGTTGCCGGCATACCGCGTGCCCGTGACAATGTCGTAGTTGCCCGACTCCTGGAGCGCAACCATCTGCGGGATGAACTTGGGGTGGTGCGAGAAGTCGGCATCCATGATGATGACAAAGTTGCCGGTGACAAACTGCAGGCCGTGGACGTAGGCGGTTCCGAGACCGAGCTTGCCGGAGCGACTCTTGAGGACGACGTGAGGAGCGTAGGCCTTGACCAGCTGGTTGGCGACTTCTTGGGTGCCATCGGGAGAACCGTCGTCGACAATGATGAGTTCCCAATCGAGTTTGCTGTTGGCAATTGGCGTTAGCCTTGAGCTGTGCACGCGGCACACGTGTCAGAGGAGGGTTTACCTCTCGGTAAAGGTGCGGTTCAGCAACCACGTCATGATGGGCAGGTTTCGACGTTCATTGTACGTGGGCAGAATCACCGAGTACTTGTTCTTGGAGGCTTTGGCGGGAGCCATTGTGAGAGAAGCGGACGAATGAAGAAACCACAAAAAAAATGAAGCATGTGCTGCGCGAATGGAAAGAAAGCAAGACCCGTCGGCGACGAGATAAGGAGCGTGATCAAGTTGGGCTGGTGTATCGCGTAAAAAACAGAAAAAGCTTCAAGTGTCAGCTCTGAGCGTGTCGCAACCCCGTGCTTCTTTGGCCAGCATGTCACGATGGACTTGTGGTGTCGGGCCCATATTTTGTATGACTAAGCAACTGTGCGGCCTGGCGCTCGGGACCCCAATTCTGCATTGACGCCCCTGAATTGGATTGGGGCCTTTGTTACGGATGGACGGGTGGTGAGGCTTGGCGAATCGAATCGATGTTGGACACAATCATGGACCACGAAATCATTCCATCATCTGGTAACGTCTGCACTCTGCCAATTTTGCGAAATTGACTTCTGGATAGCCGTCTTGATGCGCCGCCGCAGCTTGTCTTGAACAGACCGTCTACTCGACGCCCCCTCCAGAGAGACGCATCGAAGTTGGGTGTGGGCACGAGATCACAAGCGATACTCGGTACATATTCTCCAATGCCACAACATGACGGACAAGTTCGACGGTCCAGCGCCCAGTGCCGTGCATATGTATCCCATGCGTGCAGCGGGAGGGTAACTGCGCCCGTCCACAACAAACAAAGGCCTAAACTCGAGCAACCGACGCGGCAGCATCAACTGACCACTCACTCCTCCATCACAGATTGCTGGCCGTTCGCTTCAAAGAACAGCGGTCCCTCGTATTACCGCTCGACTTCAGCTTGGGCACAGAGTTCCGAGTAGACCTGGTCTGGTTTGGTTCTGCCAAGGTCTTCCCCTCACTGCCAACTGCGGCGAAGGGATCTGCTTTTCGATGCTGCTATTGGACGCAGCTGGCTGTTGAGCCATGTCCAGAAATCGGTGGCTTGCGCGATGGTGGATGTTTGCGGCCCACCATCGTCTGCATTTCTCCTCGTCGGGGCCTGTAGCTCGTGTCTCTGGTGTTTGCTGCGCAGCCTATCAAGCGCTGGAGACTGAGCCCGAAGCACGCCTAAGCTTCCGCTTCTCCGCAAATGGAGCGCCTGCCCAGCATCCTGGAGTTGAGGTCCTGGAGTAATCCTGGAGCGTCGCCACGGTCTGGTACCATGGTCCGGCCGTTTCCATCGTTTGGATCCGCACCGTCTATGGGATGCGAACACGGTCGAGATCATCTCCAGGCGATCCTTCAGCCCCCTTGCGTTGTGTGCTCGGCAGCCTGTGACTGCCAGAAACGAGAACATGTTTTTTGCTCTGGCTTGGTCATGCTGCCCAGCCAATACAACCAAGTCTCAGATACGGCCGGGCTCGCCTTTGGATGGCTGGTCCACCCACGAGGTTTGGCATGTTCATGTGGACTGTGTGGGCGGCATTGAGATGGTCTAGCTTGCTTGTGTCGCCGTCTTAAGTGCTAAACGTACATGTAGATGTCTGAACCTGGCACACACTGTCAGTGACGTGTGCGAACGGGGCATTGACGCAGGCATCGAGGTACTTGGCTCAAACTCGAATCCAAGGTATCTCGCCACACGAATGTGCGGGTGAGGAACACGCCGCGCCCGCCGTTCCGAAGCTGCGGAATAACAATATTCGATCGACTGTTTCCTGCTTGTGGAACCGGCCGCGCCCTCTTTAACTCTTCACGGAGGCATGCATTGGCCAGTACCGAGCTCCAAGGCCAGCCTTTGCCTTCGTTCCCCCATCTCGCTGCTCCCTCCAGTTTACTGGCTTCAGCTTGCCTCTCTGCCTCATCTCTCCCTCTCAAACTCACATTGCCTTGCTTTCGCCTCTTGCCCGTAGGAGCACGGCATCGCCCCATCAGACATCTCCCTGCCGCATGAAAGCTCACATGCTTGGATTCCTCATCGCTCACCAATCTCTTCGCCTGCTCGCTCTTACAGAGCTCCCTCAGCCGCAGAGGCAAGCTTAATCACTCGACAGAGCCGCTCGCGGTACCACCCACCTTACGTCATCCGAACTCACCACCCACGTCTGCCACCGCAATGACCGACACCAACGTCCCGGCAGTTGAGAAAGGTGAGGGTCGCGAAACATCGATCGCGTAATATTGCCGTGTGAGGATTTTGGGTCGCCTGACTTCGCTGGTGCTCCCAATGCCCACTAGTTGTATCAATTGATGCATCTGCGAGTAATTGGTTGTTGCCCGTGCTTCTCAGTGCCAACTTGCCACCAAAGTTCTGCTGAATGACTGCACCTTTGCCATCATAGCAAGCTAACTCGTCATTCTATAGTCTCTGGTCTTGGCCCAGATGATTCCAAGCCGCGGGTTGGAGCTTCTCCTCCAGAAGGACAGCCATTTCTCGCCGTCTGCCCTCCCGCACCAGCTCACAGGAATGAGAAAGACGAGGTCGGGCTCACGGACAAGCCGGGTGACAAGCCGGCCGAAAGATTGGTTCAGCCAGCTGGAGAGAACAAGATAAACGGTGACACCGGCCATAGTTCTACCCTGCCCAAGCCTGTCGAGGTCATGTCTGTTCCAGAGACGCCTGTTAATGGATCGACACCTGCTGGAGGAACGCCCCGACCAGAGCTCACCATCTCGGAGGACCCTGCTCCGTCAGCACCTGAACCTCCTAGTGAGCCGATTATCGAACCCGTCGAGCTGACAGGAGCTGAGAAACCAAAGCCCACCCCTCCGACTTCTGTGCCCGACGAGAAGCATACTTCCTCTTCTTCAGATGCGCCTGCACCTCGTGAAGAGCCGGTGCAACAGTCATCCGTCGCCAAGGCTCCCGAGCCGCCCATGAACGATTCTCCTGCCAGTGGAGCCATGGACGTCGACAAGCATGAGGAGAAGCAGCCCGCACCAGTGACGCACACTGGTCCCGAATCAGAGCCTGTTCCTGCCCCAGCCCCTGCCCCAGCGGAAATTCCAGACGCGCCCCCCATCACCACTGCCGAGCCCAACGACAACGCTGTCGGCGAGAAACGCAAGCTTGACAATGACGTTCCGCCTGTCGATGGCTCATCCGCGACAGACAAAGATCCCGCTGCTTCGGATCCTCTTCCACTGGACAAGAAGCCCAAGCTCGATGGAAGCGCAGCCGCCAACGGACAGGCGGCTAAAGCGGCCGCAACTTCAGACCCTGCTTCTAATGCGGACCCAGCCTCTGACCCAGCACCGGCGGAAACCGCCAAAGAACCTCCCCAAACATCCCCCAAAAACGGTAAACCCAAGAAGGAAAAGAAGCTCCCGCCAGTGGGCAGAACGGCGCGCAAAACCAGGAGCCAGGGCCCGGCGGACGCTTGATCGAGCAATGGATTGGGGCCCGGATACACGCGGTTATGGCCCGTAGGAGGAGTTACATACGATGAAATGACTTTTGATCCAGGTTTCGGAGGGCGGGAGGTAGGCAACATGGTGTTTTGGACTCATGAGACGAGGTCTGACATTGATTGAGCTGGACGTTTTGTGCAGTGTCACCTGAACAAATGGCGTTGGGGGTGAATGTTATTTATCATGGAAGTTTGATGTATCCCATGTCGTTCAATACACTTTGACTTGGCAACCGCAACGGGCACTCCTTTCTTTCTCCAGAATCATTTCTTGCCCCGACAGGAGCCGCGATTGGCAACTGACGCGGCGCATAGTTACATTCAACGTCTCTTGCTGACTCTTTTTTTGAAGAGCAGGGGCCGCATTCACGTTTACAATATCACACACCTGGAATTTTGCTCAGCAGACGTTCCTACCTGGGCGACGTCGGGATACATGCCGAATCTCGTATCGCCACGGCCCGATGCCAGGAATGCGTCTTCCCGATCAGACGCGGTGCCGCAGATGGGGATCTGCCGCCTACCACTTGGCCTCTGGGTCTGATGGCAGCGGAAGGGCTTCGCGGCCATCTTTGCCTTTACTTCATATAAGTGCTGTCCAAGACGAGGAGTCGAGGACTAGTCCTGTGCGGGTTTTGGCTGTCCCCTGCAGTGCCGCATCCTTGATGAAGAAAGGGTGGGTGTGCAGTGCGAAAAACCGGTCAATATATGTTTCAAGGCACGAGCGTGTGTATAATCATGTTTTCATTTGACAGAATCAAGATTTCTAACAGACCAAAGCGAGGCGCGGGCATATGTGCAGCCCGGCAATGTATAAATCACAGCCAAGTCGCAAGCCGCTGCACGACAAACAGAATACGACATGGAATACCGACAGAAGACGACGAAAAAGTGACATCTGTCAGGCTTCGCTGCCCTGCCCTTCCTCCAAACGCCCTTCGACATAGTGCCGGGCCATCGCAGCAATATCAAGAGAACCAGTCGACATTTTTCAAATTCCCTTCTCGATCCTGTCACACGTCTCCATTGCCATGTTCTTGATCTTGATGCACTCGTCCATGGTGCAACGGGCCCAGAGGCACGGCTTCGACCTCTTGGTTATGACCCTCTTGTGGATGCAGCCGCACTTGCTGTCGCTGTAGGCACACCCGGCCTCGTCGAAGCTGCTCTTCAAGCAATCGACCTAAGGTGTCACAGTTAGCAGACCGTGTACTCCAGGAACCATGAAGCTGGATCGGGTCGTGTCTTACGGAGCACCCGGGATAACGGTCGAACGGGTGGCTCGTGTGAGGGTTAAGCGGGGTTGAGCGGACGGGCGCGACGGCAGCGGAGGCGGCGGCAGCGCAGATGGCGACGAGAACAGCGGTAAGCTTCATGCTGATGATTCTTGTAACTTTTCGCAAATTTACGACGTTTCGTTTGATGTTTTCTTTGTAGGGTGGTGTGGAAGAGCGGATCAGACGTGAGGAGGGTGGGAGAGAAGTCCCGGCACGATGGACAAGAACAGTGATTTATTTATGCCTAGATCAGTCTTGAGAACAGGCTATTTTCAAGGTTTAGTTAGAGCTACACGAGGTAATGTTTATTTCAGCCTGTACGCCGAAGCTTTTGTGAGATTCGCACCCTAGACTTGTAGCCTGAACTTACGTGCTTAGCGTAACTGTACAGCAGAAAGTACGCAGCATCGTGGTTCGAAATGCTCATTTTCGATTGACAAAGTAGACGAATATTGAAATAGTTTATATACTATAATTGATAGCCACGTTGTCGACTTGCCGTGGACATTGAGACACGTATCAAGTGTTGATCAAGTTGTTCGCGATCATTGTCTCTGTTCGTGTGTACGGAAATCATGAGGCTGGCGTCTAATTGTTGCCAATATGGTATCAAAACTTTGTAGGCGTAGTCTGGCACCTGTTCTGCTTTGGCCTTGGTGCTTAATACACAAAGGCCCGTACCATCTTTGGTAACCAACTTGCCAACCATCTCCGAGCATACGACTGTATATCGGTCATAGCCCAAGACATTTTCGTCCCCACTACTCACCTCTCCGTCGGGAGCCAAGGTTCTAGACTGGAACTTTAAAGCTTAGCCCGGGACTTGATCGACGCTCGGTACACGCGTCATTGTCACTTGTCCTCGGCGTCTGTTGCGAAGTTGTTTATACTATTGACATAAGGGACCCATTTGCGGTGTTGGCTTTTACATAAAGCGCGTACAACAGCAATAGCCTGTCTTGGTAAGCGTGGGACGGTCTTGGTGAAACTTCATGTCATGCGTGGCGACAAAGAGAAAATTTTCGTCCCGTCATTCTCGTGGCTTGCAGAATTTCACGCACTTGAAACGCGCGCAGCCATAGCATCGTTCGTTTTTTGGGACGTAGGACTGCATTTGGCCTGTGTGTACCCCGGACGAGCATCCCGTGGGGAGTTCGTGGACGCAGGGCCATCGTCTCGAGCGGATCTGCAGTTAGTATGATTCAAGAATGGAATGTGGCAGAGCGCAATACGTCCGTCGCAGTTCGACTCGGCTTTTCATTTCCTCGCAGCAGGAAAACGGGAACAAGGAGAAAGCAACAGCGCGTGCTCAACACACACACTCGTACCGTGCGCCCTGAGATGCATCCTTCTAAACCGGACACTAACCGCCCGCATTCTATGCATTACCTTCGGCTGCTCAGGAGAACATTCCTACCTTAGCGTTCGCCTCGTATTCTTCATGCACTAACAGGAATTCAGTGCTCCCCATGCATGACAGTGGGAACCCAATGAGGAGCTAGCAGAGGAGCCGGGCCCATCAGAGGAGGCGCAGCGTCAAAAATAGCAAACATGAACAGCCGCTCGTCAACAATGGCATGGCGTTCGGTTGGAAACACCCCTGGCTTCTTCCACAGAGTCACCGTGCGATCACTGGGGATCAAACAAAGCGGAAAAGTTGGCGGTGAATTTCGGCGACCGGCTGCAACCCCAGTACCAAGAGCCAAGCAAGTTTTGAATGCCATCTTGCCGATATGCAGCATTGAAGGCAAACCAATACCTAGACGGCCTTTGCTCCTATGCAAAACCACCACCAACAGGTACCGTGGAATACCCAGTACCGCCGCACTGGTTGCTACTGCGTGGCCTGTGTGCTTGGCCCTATGATGATTCATCGAGGTATTTTTCCACGGTCTGGTGGCTCGTTTGACCCACACTGCCTTCAAGCTTCAAGGACCTGTCCACGAATCCTCCGTACGTGTATTGTATTGTCCTCGCAGGCTGCCCCTCAAGGGTCCGCCGTGGCTATTGGCTTGGGCGGCACAGACACCTAAAAGTTTCAGTGTTAACTTCTATAACATTCGGGTTGGCTTGGTGTACTGAGAGTTTCAGCCTCGGTTTGACTGAAATGTTAAGTGTGTGGTGTTTTGTAGAAAAGGGGTCGGATAGTGGTTTGGCCTCGGAACATTATTGGCAGCCTAGGGCGATGGCGTCTGTCAATTCAAAGCATCAACGGACAGCGGGCACATCCCTGATCGTCTCCCAGTCCCAGCTGGAGTCCCATACTGAGCCTGCATCAAGGAGACATCAGAAAACACCAGACACTCTGCCCGGATGTGTCCCTTCCCTCTGTCAGTGAGTGGTCAATGTTTTCCGCCACCGTGAGCTCCGTGCCCTGTGCTCCGCAAAGTGCCACGGCCAATCGTCAACTGATGGCCTGGCGGCCGTGCCGGCGCTGTGCTACCAAGCTACCTGCTGGGCTGCTGTACAGGATGCAGCACATCGGAATGTGTGACCCGATCCAGGCGCCCTGGTCACTGATGGATCGCGTGGTTGGTGGATGGGAGCCGTGGACATGGGCATGGACGTGGCCGTGGACGTTGGAGCCCATGTGGATGGAGATGGATGGAGACGGATGGAGACTCCTGTCAGGGCCCAAGTCGACGTTGCGTTTTCTGCGGGTCCAAGACGCAGATAGGTACTGCATACTTGCGTGCACATGCGACGAGCGCATTGGTAAACGTACCGGCTACTCCATCTATTGTCTCTGTTCAACTCCAAGCCAAAAAGACCTTTGACGAAGAACCAGACAGTTAGAATGCAAGGTGGACAAGACCCTGGCCCTCCCATCCATGTTCTCCTCTAGTCAACAACTTTTGTTCTTCATTCGTCCGCTTTTTACTATCCTCCGCTCTCCTTGTTCTCTTTGCTCTCGTCTGGCCTTTCTTTCATTCTTTCTTCCCCTGATAACTAACCTACGCTCCGTCCTTACTTCTGCCCTCCTCTTCTTCCCAATCCTCTGTTTTCTTCTTTCCTTTGCTGCGACAGAAGTAGCCTCTCGTTAATCTACACTAGTAGATCCATCTACTGCTCACCTTGCAGACCACGAGCGCCGTTGCCGATTCCACCGCTGCCTCGAAAAAAACTCCTGGACTCGCCTCCCGTTGCGCAAAGCTCGTGTTCCTCGACATTGCATTTTTATAGCGAGCCAGTCACCCCCCCTTTTTTTTCGCTCTCATATTTTCTTCCTGTTTCTTTTGTTCTTGGTCTGCCCTTGAGGTTTTTCATCGCCCTGGAATTTGCAAAACAAGACGCATAATTTACCTACGACCCCACCGATCCTCGCCAATTGCACTGAAACACAAGGCGTCAATCATCACGAAGATCGACCACAGTGCGATCCGAGCCGGAGTCGGCCACACGCACACACACAAGCTTCTTGGTGACGGATACATTCTACCTTGGGAATACTCGTGTGTCGTACATTAGTGGCTTTGCGCTCCCATCACGACCACCTGGCTTCAGAGTCTCGCAACTTGTAACCCTCCGATTCGGCGACGGGTGCGACGTCGATGACTTACGCGCGCCATGGCGCTTCGTCCCACAGCTCTCGGAGCCTTGCTCCCCCGAGATGGTGGTGACCAAAAAGATGCTGGTCAGGAGCTTATCGACCTTCTGAAGAACCCATTTGTAGCTGACAAGGTAGAATTACTCCAAGGGGAATTGCACATGTTGCTGATCGCTAACCATCTTATTCGGTAGCTTGCTACGGCCTCCGTATACTCTGCCTTGGCTACATCCCTTGGTGTTACAGCATTTATCGCCATATGCTTCTCCTTCATTCGTCCATATCACCAAGCTATTTACGCTCCGAAATCAAAGCACGCAGACGAGAAACATGCGCCACCGCCTATCGGAAAAGAGCCATGGGCTTGGATCACGCCTCTTCTGAATACGAAAGAAGTTACCCTCATGAACCAGATTGGCATGGACGCGACTATATTCTTGCGCTTTATCCGCATGTGCAGAAATATGTTCTTGATCTTGGCTCTCATTGGCGTTGGCATTCTCGTTCCTGTCAATTTGACCAACTTCAAAGACTTTTCAACCTCTTCGCAACCCGACACAACCGAGTGGATGTTGAGAATTACGCCTCGCAACGTTTTCGGCTCACCTCACTGGGCTTTGGTGGTGGTTGGCTACCTGTTCAACATTGTCGTCATGTCTTTTCTGTGGTGGAACTACCGCAAAATTCTTCATCTTCGCAGAAAGTACTTTGAATCAGAGGAGTACCAGTGCAGCTTGCATGCCCGTACCCTTATGCTTTTTGACATTCCCCGCCAGGGATGCTCTGATGAAGGAATTGCGCGAATTATCGACTCTGTCGTGCCCAATTCATCGTTCGCAAGAACTGTCGTGGCCCGAAATGTCAAGGATCTTCCTGAACTGATCGAAGAACACGAAAAAACCGTACGCAAGTTGGAAAAGGTCCTCGCCAAGTATTTGAAGGACCCGCAGAACTTACCAGCAGCACGACCAACTTGCAAGGCCTCTAAAAAGGATCGGTCTTTTGATACGTACCCGTCAGGACAGCGACTGGATGCCATTGACTACCTCACACAGCGCATCAGGGACCTCGAAATTGAGATCAAAGAAGTTCGAGTTAGTGTGGACAGGCGCAGCACCCAGCCCTATGGTTTTGCCAGTTACTCTGAGATTGCAGAAGCGCACAGTATTGCGTATGCCTGTCGAAAAAAGAAGCCTCATGGAGCGACTGTGAGGCTGGCTCCACGACCAACCGATGTCATCTGGCACAATATGCCCCTATCTAGTGCCACCCGTAGTCGAAGACGGTGGATCAACAATTTATGGATTGCCGTCCTGACCATGCTGTGGGTTGCGCCCAACGCAATGATTGCCATCTTCCTAGTCAACTTGAGTAACCTGGGCAAGGTGTGGAAAGGTTTTCAGACATCGCTTGAGGCGCATACTGATATTTGGGGTGTTGTCCAAGGTATAGCCTCGCCCGCCTTGACTTCGTTGGTTTACCTGGTCTTGCCCATGATCTTCCGTCGACTTTCGAGCAAAGCTGGCGACCAAACAAAGACTGGCAGAGAACGACACGTGTTGGGCAAGCTGTACGCCTTCTTCGTTTTCAATAATCTCGTCGTCTTTTCCTTTTTTGGTGTCTTATGGTCCTTTATTGCTGGAGTAATCATGGCCACTGAGGGCCAAAACGGTTCAAAGAAAGACGCGTGGTCTGCCATCCTCGACGGGAATCTTGCCCAGAACATCGTTATTTCGTTCTGCAACAACAGCATTTTCTGGGTCACATATTTGCTTCAACGGCAACTTGGTGCAGCTGTCGACCTCGCCCAAATTTGGCCACTCATTGTCGCCTTCTTCCAAAAGAAATTTTCGAGCCCAACGCCCAGAGAACTCATCGAGCTAACGGCCCCGCCTCCGTTTGAATATGCCAACTACTACACATATTTCCTCTTCTACTCGACGGTTACGCTATGTTTCGGTACCATCCAACCGCTTTGTCTCCTCGCAACCGCCATGTACTTCTCCATCGACTGCTACCTCAAGAAATATCTGATTCTTTATCGATTTGTCACCAAAACAGAATCTGGCGGCTTATTCTGGCGAGTTGTTTTCAATCGCATGATACTTGGGGCTATCCTTGCTAACGGCGTGGTACTGCTCACAACTTGGGCCCGTGGCGATGGCACGCATATGCAGTTTTATGCCGTGTGCCCATTGCCATTCATGATGATTGCGTTCAAGATCTACTGTTCAAAGGCCTTTGACGACAAGATGCGATACTACAACACTCAATATTCGGCACAGCACCCTGAAGCCGGGATGCAAGGCGATTCGCGAAGCCGTAGCGATAAGTTGGCGAGTCGTTTCGGCCATCCTGCGCTCTACAAACCTCTCATTACTCCAATGGTGCATCAGAAGGCACAGAATCTCCTGCCTTCGGTGTACCGTGGTCGGCTGACGGATGGACGCGACAACGATGGTGCCGACCTGGCGACTGTTAGTGGTTACTCGGATGTGTATGCACTGGATAGTATGAAGGGCGGCAAACCGGGAAAGACAGCAAACGCTGTGCCTGGATTCGAATACGTCTCGGATGCACAGATGGATTTCCAGTACTACAAAAATCGAGCAGAATTTGTGGACGAGCATGGTGGAGGCGAAATGTACGGCAAGGGAAGCGACATTATGCGAATGGGGACGCCAGGCTCGTTGGATGATGTGGGTAGTATCCGTTCTGTCTCACGGCCTGCCTCTCCCATGATGAGCGGTGTTGGCGGCCCCGGCCAGCCTCGTCGCGTCATGACCAACATGTCCAAGTCCGACACGGGATACCCGTCCTACAGACCGTCCAACGCGGCATACGGACCGCCTTCGGACCCCGTCTCCCGCGGAGGCACACCCCTATATGCCCACGACAACGGCAGCTCCTCGGGCCTAGTTCGCAACGCCGCCGCCATGGCTGCTCCGCCAGGCTTCAACTCCCGTGAGGGGTCTATGGAACGTGGTCGCATGACTCCACCAAGGGTACACTCGCCTGTCCCCCAGAGAGTTGGCTCTCCTCAAGTATCGCGTGGTCCTGCCGCGGGCCCTTCAATTGGTGCCATGGGCGGGGGGCCTCAGGGTTACAGTGACCTTCAGCAGCAGGATGAAGTGGACCCGTACGCGGATCCCATGCAGTATAATTACTTCAGAGGCGGAAGCGGGAATAAACATGCTCGACAGCCAGGAGAAGGATGGTAGGAGATGGACATTGGCTTGTTGTGAGATATTACCTGGCGTCGCGGTGTTACTTTGATAGATGTGTGGCGTTTTGGGATAGACCCTTTGTATATCTGGAATAAACGATGGGAAACGGCTACCGCTTGCAGGACCGAGTAGAGTACATCATGTATAACGATATTTGACGTTGGCGGTAAATTTTAGATGCAGAGAAGCTGTTTTAATTACCTCTGCGATGGTGTAAGCCACTCGGAGTCTATTTTTTTCTCTCTAACTAATTACTTATTATATATTATACATTATTGAGTAGAAAATCCAATATGGGCTGGGCACATGTCTTGCTCGCGCCTCTGTCATCAACCCATGTTGCGCATCTTGCTCATCGTCCTAACCCCCGCGTGACACCAGAGAGATTCATACACTCTTTGTCCGTACCCGGCTACGCTTGGACTACAAACTTGCCCGTCTCGTCAAACCTCGTCATAAACTCTGTCAGATCCCCCGCCAGCCCATCGACAAACTCCTGACCAACCACGCTCTCCTGCCACGAGATGCCGACGCTCAACAAGCCACCGGCTACGCTGCCCAGTCCCAGTGCCAGAGGCGAGCCCGTCACCAAGGCCCCGTTGGTAAAGTACACCCTCGACACGGCGAACCCGGCCTCCTCGGAGGGATTCGCAAAGACGCCAATGTTGCTGACCTCCCAGGAGTCGGGGCGCGGCTGGCCGTCCTTCTTCTTGAAGTAGCCGATCCAGTCGGAGTTGTACTTCATCAGGCCGTTGATGTCGTCCCTGGGCACGCTGGCCACCTTTCTATTGAGTTCGCCCTTGACCCGCTGCGCGGTTTCCCAGATGCTCTGGTCGGCGTCTTTGGGGGTGCGCAGCCGGGCGACGAGGGGGGCGGGGAATTGGTGCTCCTGGGAGGTGACGAGGACGCGGAGTGACTGTTTGAACTCTGGGTTGGCGGCTGGTCCTAGGAACGGCCGCAGACTGATGGGGGTGCTGGCCGCGAAGGAGGACGCCTCGCCCGCGGGGAGGCGGGAGGCCAGGGAGGCTGCTGCGAGGGCGTGGAAGAGGCCCGTGATGGTGGTGCCGTGCTGTCTGCACGCCTTGAGGAGCTTTGCGACGATGGGGCCCTGGAAGTCGACGGCCTTGGTGAGGGTGACGTAGGGGATGGAAAAGTCGCTGGGTTTGCTGTGCCAGGGGACGTGTTTCTTGGCGCGGAGTATGGAGGGGCCGAGTTCGTTCCAGAGGGTTTTGACGAGGTACCAGGGTGAGTTTTGGAAGGCGATGATTTGGTCTTGGGCTTCGGGGAGTCGGGGGGCATCGGGGAACTGGAGTGACGCCGTGGTGGTGGTGTTTGCTGCGTCTTGTCCGAGTTGGTGGTTGAGCTCCTTGAGGAGGTTCTCGTGAAACAGCTTTCCGCTGTTGCCATCCAGCAGGGAGTGGTGGAAGGAGAAGATGATTTCTTGGGCGCGGGATAACTCCCCTGTGGCGGCTGGGCTTGGTTTGACGACGGCTATTCGCCATGGGGGAACATCTTGGATGTTCAACCAGGGCCGGCTATGGTGCCAGCCTTGCTGGGAGGCAATGTGCTCGTTGTACTGGTCTACAGTCTCGCAGTCATCCAATGTCTCGAAGGAGACATGGTTTGCCAGATGAATGGTTTTGATGTGGCAAAAGGCCGCCTTGCTGGTATCTTCCCCAAGGATGCCAACTCTGAGCATGGGCTGTGCAGAAACGACTCTTGCTAGGGCGGGATATAGAAGCGCCTCGTCGATACCCCGACCCAACGTGGGTGCGTTGTAACGGCATGTGACCGTTACGCTAAGGTATAAGCGCATGTAATGGCGGGCAGAAGAAAACAACTCGCTGTTGAAGAGTCAGTACGACACGTCTTGCCAACAAAGGGGTCAATGGCTTGTGAAGGCGGAATGGAGTTGTCGCGCTCACATTGGTCCGAGCTGGCGCAAGGCCATTGGACTTTCGGCTTGGCTGCCCATGATGCCCAGAGGTAGTAGGAGTCGTGTGAATTCGAGGAAAGAAAAGTCTGAGCGGTGATGCCATGCTGCCTACTTTTAAGTAGTACATACTCCCAACACGGACAAAGTCGAGGAAGAGCGGGACTGGTACCCCATATTTATAGCTTAAATGAGCAACTCCGGATTTATTCATCACAACCCCATTCTGCAACTCTTGGCGGGAAACAAGTCTACGCATATCTAGGGCCTGGAGAGTCCGAGAACAATCATCATGAACAATCTTGATGCCACGACGCCTTCGTTAAGCATATGCAAATTGGTGGCCGGTGGGTACCCAATGAGTAGAGGTGTGGCGGCGCCACTGCGACGTTGAGCTGCGTCTCAGGACATGGTGAGTGAAGGGTGAGTTGGGTCTGGAGAGATGAAAGTTGGTATTGCCGAGTCTGCATCTGATACATGAAACTCGCAGATATCATGAATGCAGTGTAACAAGCCAGAGTTCAGGGTCAGTCAACATTGTGCACTAGGTACTTAGACACAGTCGACCGGGAATTGTGTGCTCTCGGGTGCCAGGCTACAAGTACTCAGTACCTCGATCTACAGGGTAAAAGGCCTTCTCAAGCCGGTACTGTCTACCTTTTCGCCGTTCTCTCGAATCTCCAGTCCCACCAGACGTTTCTGATGCATGCCGGTTAAGTTCCGGCAATGGAAGGAACGATGGGACGTGAGACATGAGGCACTTGGTAGTACTAGCTCAAGCTCAAGCTCGAGTGGGAAGGAAAGAACCACCCTTGTCTGCGAGCGACCCATGCCAAAAACACGCGCCACCAGACTGGGCCTACTTGTAGACCTGCAGACGGAACCATTCATCGTCGGCGATCCAAACAAAGGCAACGCTGCCTACATTCGCCCCTCGACAATAACACAGCTCGATTGACCGACCATTCAACCTCACTATTGTGGCGCTTCACGTAAACGCATCTTCGACAATCAACGCTGGTATCGCTAGTCACTGGCCAAAGCTATTGTTGTTGCAAGTACATCCGAAGCTGCAACCACACACACCTGATCGCGTCCCAAGCCGTAGCGCCATACCGATCAATTGCCACGAGCCACTGCGTTTAATGCTGTGCCGACAATCGCGACTACCAACGCCATCAACACGTAGTAGCACTCGCCCAGCGCCCACGACAAATATGCAACCGCGTGCTGCCGCTGCTTGAGGCGCGCGTCACTAAGCACATCGCATCCAAGCCCGCGGGCCACAGGCGGAATCACGCACCAGACTTGCTGATGGACCGTGGCGGCGACACGGCGGCATCACGGCCGAATGGGCGAGCGCAGCCGAACCAGCTACATGTAAACCACGAGACCAGGAGGCCGCTGTTCTCCAACAAGGCCCCGCGAAACATGGGCAATGGCCCTCAATCCGCATCCGCTTCGGTCGGCACTGGTGCAAGACCCGGAGCTCTTGGGGCAGTAGGTCATATTGGGCCCGCGCGACGAGCAAAATCAGATCCACAGAGCATGGCATCTGGATTCGGAAAAGCTCAAGAAGACGTCGATGCAAATGCTAGCACCGCCAGCATACTCTCTACGGGAGGCAGCCGAATACCCCGACCCAACATCTCAGGCCTTCAGCATCGGCGGCCGATTTCGATGGCAGAAGCTTTCAAGCTAGCCCAAGAGGAGGAAGAGGAAGCCGAGCAAGAGCGACAACAAGGGGGTTCGCCGAGCCCAGCGCCACGAGTATGGCGAGCGCGGCCCGGACAACCCCATGACGAGACTCAAGCGCGAAAGATGATGGCCGAAGACCCCTTGGACAGCAGAGCACGAGCACGACAATATACCGAAGCCGGGGCGCCGGGTGTGCAGTCACCAAACGCGAAACCGCAGGCTACAGAGCTGGGAACGGCCACATCTAAGAGAGGCAACGGCCCCAGCTTGCAGGACCGCATAAATGAATGGAGGACGAAGTCGCGACCGAGCTCCGACTGGGCTGAGAAGTCGCCAGAATACCTGAGAGATGCCAGTGGCGAGCCGCACCTTCCTGAATTGGTGCCGGGAATCGAAGATGTTCCTTTTCAATCCATCGAATCCCCGGGTCTCAATGGTGCAATCCTATCCCCATCAAAAGATTATACATGGCAGGTGGACCATGATTTTACCGCTGGAGACTTGCAGGTGTCGGATAGCCCCCGAATCAAAGTAGGGAATAACAGCAATAAGCCGTTTGCGAATCGCCCATCGATATTGGATAGAATTGATATCAGGTCGCCTGCGCGGATTACTAGTCCTCGGACGAGAAATACCAGGCTAGACGAAATCCGAGCACGAGAACTCAATGTTGAAGGGGGCAGTCTCGCAGGACAATCAACTTTGACGCCACAGCATTCTCGAAGATATACCAAGCTGGAGGAGATTCGGGCGAGAGAATCTGCAGCCGAAAAGCAGATACCTATACCCGATCGAAATCAACCACGGCCCAAGAACACCAGGTTAGATGAAATACGACAGCGCGAAGCAGAAGGCTTGTCAAGACGCGCCCTTGCCGCAGCCCGGCTAGAGGAAATCAAGGAAAAAAACGCCATGACGAGGCCATTGTCACCAGAAAAGGGCAAATCACGGATTGAAAATCGTCCCGAGATGCGACCACCTGCTCGCCCCAAATCAGCTCACTACGAGGGAGGAGAGCATATTCCAGACACCCCAGTCACAGTGTTTAAGAGCCATCGCCCTAAGCAGGAGAACATGAACCCCGAGGAGACGGGGACTACGCATGGCAGGGGTGTCGCTGCAGTGAAGCCAGATGTTAATGAACGCGACTTGCTGCGACGGCTGGCCCGCGCCGCCAGCTCAAGTCCAGCACCCGAACCAGTGAATAAACGTGCTCCCCTCGCAGAGCGCCAGAAACCAAACGAAAGTGAGACGGTTGTGACAAAACTGACACTGGCGGGACGTTCCACAAACAATGGACGAAAATCAGCTCTCAGCTCTCACAATAAGGTTGCTGAATCCTCAAGACCAAGTGTCGGATTTGCTGGCTTAAGACGCATCCCGTCAACCGAATCAGCTAAGAGCAAGCCATCAAGTATGCATTCAGAGTCGGATCCAACTGCTCGGATAGAAGCCGAGGCGAAGCTGTTTGCGCCGCGTGACGATTACTCCGAGCCGGGATCCGTACGAGCGCCGTCACCCGTGCCGGACAGTGATGAGGAAGAAGACGACGTGGCAGAAGCTACTCCCAAGCCACAAAAGCACGAGTTTCTGCACATGGAGACACCCCGGGTCATGGGTGCCTATGTTGAAACACCCGTCACGGCCAAAATAGAGAAAGTCAAGGAGGAGGAAGCGCAGGACATCCAGCCGTTGAAAGAGAAGCTGAATGATCAAAGACGAGCAATGTCAAAGCCAGATGCCACCACATTATTTCGTGATAAGAAAACGAGTCTCGCGTGGCGGAATAAAGACGAAGACACGGCCTCTGAGCCTGGTGCAAGAGGGGAAATTGCAGGTGATTATGCTGCAGCATCTGCAGCAGGCAAGAAGCCTCGATCACGATCATTACCTCGCAGTCGATCATCAGTGAAAAACTCAGCCAAACCGCCATCGGTCAAGGACGATTTACGCGAACTGCAGCGCAAGCACAACATTGAAGACTCAACCATTGATGACTTGGAGGACATATTGACCGGTCGAAAGCATGCATCACCAAAGCTGAAGGAGCTGCTAGAAGAATTACCAGTCAAAGCAGAAGACAAAATTGACGAAGAGTTGAGAATTGTGGAAGCAGAGATTCAGAAGCTGAAGCGAGAGAATTCAGAAGACAAGGATATGTCGGCAGGCGAAACGGCTTTGTATGACAAAATGAGCAAGAATCTCCGCACGGGATTGTCGAGTATACATACTGCTAAGCTTGGCATCGACAAGCTGTACGACCAGGTTGCCCAAGCCGAAAAACAGTCAACCACAAATGAGGATGAGTCAAAACCACTCCAGCGTCGGAAACACCAACATGCAAAGGACCACAAGAATTTGCCCGATGTGTTGTGTCCAGAGTGCACGGCCGATCCGGGACCAACCAGCTTGACCTATCTTCGTTTCCCCATCCCTCGACTCTTCTATACCAGTCCTCGCTTTCGTTTAAGCTGGCTAGGCCTCGTTGTCGCAATTGTTTCAGTTTGGTACCTGGCTGAGTTGACTGTGTGTGGGAAGTACTGCCGACCTGCAGCGTGTACATCTACACCGTGCGTGTATTCCTACGACGACCCAACGTTTGGCAATGCACTTCCTGTGAAGATAGACCAGTGGACGACGGGAGGAAACGGTCGGAAACTGGCAGCGTGGCTGCTGGAGGAGGTTGAAGACTGGGCGGCCGACATGGGAGACGCTCTATCTGGACGGTCATTGGAAAGCATATCAGTGGACCAGTTGAGCGCGGCAAAAAGACGGCAGCACCGACGCAGACTACGAAAAAGAGGCCTCATCAAATTGCCGACAAGGGCCGCGCCAGACCAGACGGCGAAATGGGATGCATGGAGACGGTCGAGGCTAGAAAAGGAGCGGTCACGCGACATGGGCGAGGACCCAGGCGATGGCTGGCTTGAAGAGAGCCTGGGAGGAGACGAACGGGTGTGGTGAGAGATGTTGTCGCCCAATTTTTTCCCCTCGAGCGAGGGCCTGAATGAATCAAGATAGCTTTGCTAATTAGCGTTGGGGTCCGTTGTCATTGCGCATACCGGTCAGACTGGGCGTTGGGGCTCAAAAATTATATATGTATATATATCCGTCTATGATGAATCAAGTAGCTTCTTTTGCCTTGTTCCAAACGCCAAAAACACCAAACCTCGCCATAGTCTGGGAAAACAAAAGAGACAAAAAACAGAGGCGAAACCCACGCCCAAGTATCAATCGTCAATACCGCCCCAGCCCTCATCCTCATCCTCCTCCCCTTGTCCCTCGCCATCACTCTCCCTCGTCCCCCAAGGCAGCCTCTCGTCAGCATAGCTCTCAGAGGCCCTATTCCGCACGCTCTTGACCGGGCTCGCCCTCAACGCGTCCACCATGTCGCCGACCCTGCGCACCCACTCGTCCCTCGCGGCGACGTCGTCCTCCTCCTCGTCCTCGCCGTCGCCCGCCGGCCCCAGGGCCTTCTCCCTCTCCAGCTCGTCCACCCACAGATCCAGCACGTGCAGCCTCAACCCCAGCGACACGCCGTCCTCGTCGTCGGCGTCAAAGGCCAGGCGCCTCCACACGTCGAGCATCCGGTCGACCTGCTCGCCGGCCCACGCCCTGCCGCGCGCGAAGCGCACCTGCGCGGCGAACGCGCGCCGCACCAGCAGCAGGAACTTGTCCATGCGCAGGGCGTCAATCGACGCCCACTGCCGCGACAGCACGCTCCAGAAGCCGCTGGCCAGGGGGGCCGCGCACGCCGCCGGCACGTCCAGCACCAGGTTGGCCAGGTCCGCCGCGAGCGCCTGCTGCGGCCGCGGCCGGTCCGTCATCCACAGCGCGTAGTACAGCCCTGTCCAGAGCTTGAGCGCGTCCGCGGCCGGCAGGCCCGTCCTGGACGATAGGTACGTCTGCAGCGTGGCGAGCGATTGCGTGCGAAGCTTGCGGTCTGTGGTTGGGGTTTTTGCTACAGGTCAGCCATGTGATACTGGCGGAGGGAGCGCGGGGGGGGAAGGGAAGAGGATTACCGCTCGAGGCGAGGTTTTTGATAAATGGCATCTGGGCTTCTGCGGCGGCCATGGTGATTCTGTGCGTCGTCGGTGTCGACGGAATATCGTGTTTTTTTTTTTTTTGGCAATGGCGCTGCGACGTCGATTCAAGCTGTAAATTGCAAAGGAAAAAAAAAAGATGCTGTTGCCCCCGCGCCCCACTTCCAAGGTTGAGCTTATCTTATCGGAGCTCCGTGACCGTGACCGCATTGGAGCTAGACTTGGACTTGGACTTGCGGATAAGCTAGCCAAAGTGAATAAATTACCTTTTTCGCTGGGCGCCAGCCTCGACTCGAAATAGCCGAGACCACGAGCTCGAGTGTATTACGCAGAGGGTCCAGCGGTGCACATGGCTTTGCTGGATGCGATTGCGAGGCCGTGGCGCCGGGAGAGCCTCGGTGGTGCCGCCGCTGCTCCAGACGGGCCGGGGGGACGAGGCCTACGCGAACAACTTGTATGACGGTATGATTCTGCATCGTCTGGCGGCGACGGTGGAATTGCCGGGACGGTGCGTCGTTTGCTTGCCTTGTTAGAAAACCATGTCCCCGCCGTCCCCTCCGTCTCTCCGTCCCTCCGTCCCTGCCTCCCATCAACTACGTACGTTTTTACCTGACCGTGGCGGAACGGAAAGAACCAACTTCAGCCTTGCGAGAATACATGGGCGTGTTGCACATGGCGTTTCCCCTAGCGACCTCATTTTCGCCTACATTCGAGGACGTGCCGTCTCCCAGGTACATGCCGTCTCCTCCGAGCTCGCCAGCCACTCCGCCTGGTGCAGGGGACGAGCAGGGCAAGAAAGACGACAAGGACCGACGCCTGCTGCTGCACCAGAACCCGTCGTATCAGGAGAATCTACGGATTCGCCAGCGCAACCTGCTCAGCACGCTGGATCATCTAGATGCCAAGCTGGAGCCGTTGCTGGATGTCGATACGGGCAAGGCGATTCCTGGGTTCCCCGAGACGCTGCGGGATATTGACAAGCTGGGGTGTACGTATTGGATCGTACTCATTTTCTTGCTCTTTTTTTCTTCCTTTTTTTGAAACTGACCGTGTTGATGTTGATGTGATGTAGACGACGAGGGGGTGAGGATTTTAAAGGCAGTGGGCGAATCAGATGTCCATGGCGATGAATACGACGTTCTGTACCATGTGCGACGATGGGCTGCGAGTAAGTTGTTTTGTTTTCCTCTGCAGGTGTTTCGTGTTTTGACAGTCGGTGCTGACTTTGGCGTGGGCAGCGAGGCCGACTGAGAACGAGATGCCAGGCGAGGGGGAGGGGAGTCCGGAGGGTAAGAAGACGACGATGTAGTTGGCAGATTGGGAAGCGCAAGTACGAACTTTTTGGTGCGTGTAGTTTGCCATCTTGGGCGTGTGGTTGGGCATGTCTGGCAATGAGGTTGGATTGCCAAGATGGATATACATACGGACGGGCAGCGGAGGTCAATGATACACACCACATCCTTGCACCATCCCCGCCATTCCCGTGCCGCATAGGCATAGGCATACACTGAGCTTGCGCAAATATCTGTATCCCAGTTAGCAAATCGAACTCGACCTCGTCATCTCATGGATGGCATGCCGGCAGTTGGCCCCACATGCAGCCAGGCCCAAGGCGCTCGCTCCTGCACTCCACCCCTCCCCTCCCGCAAAGCCTGCCCCGCGGCAAGACGGCCCCACCATCGTCACTTCCAACAGCTTCACCTTCCATCCTCTACCTCCAACCTCCCTCCATCCACCATCCTCCATCACCCCCCAAAACCAAAGCAGCCATGTCCACCAAGCGCATCAGCAAAGTACATATCCCCCCCGGGCCCCATGCCGCTTCCATTTTTTTCCCCCTCTCTACGAAAGAAGAAGAAAAACCTAACCCCAGACAGGAATACGCCGAAATCTCGCAATCCCCCCCAGAGGGCTTCACCATCTCCCTCCCGCCCAACGAATCCATCCACACGTGGCAAATCACGCTCGTCCCGCCGCCCGCGTCGCCCTTCCACCCGGGCAAGTACGGCATCCTGCTCACCCTCCCCGTCGAGTACCCCTTCAAGCCGCCGGCCGTGCGCTTCACCACGCGCCTCTACCACCCCAACGTGACCAACGACTCCCTCGGCAACGTCTGCCTCGGCATCCTCAAGCCCGAGAACTGGAAGCCCTCGACCAAGGTCGCCGCCGTCCTCGACGCCCTGCGCAACCTGCTCGTCGAGCCCCAGCCCGACGACCCGCTCGAGGAGAGAATCGCCGACGAGTACCGCAACGACCGGCCCGCCTGGGACAAGAACGTCCGCCTCCACGTCGACAAGTACGCCCGCGGGGAGCCCGTCTTCCCCCCCGTCACCAAGTAGGCCCGAGCCCGCGGGCCCGTGAGCAACACACGCTGCTGCGGGAAGCGAGGCGAGAGCGGCGAGGACACCAATAGAGCGCCGGGTCAAGGCATGTCTGTCACGAGAATACGAGCGGAGCGAGGGCACAAGATCACGCAATGTACATTGAGCTAGAACACCTGTATCAAATTGTTTGCCGCACCTACCCCCTTGCTTGCTCCTCCAGCTCAGACGGCCCGCCCCGTGAGCACGTTTCTTACTTTACACACCACAACCGCTTTTGCCGTTTCTTTACCAACTACCTAGGTACCTACCTAGGTACTTCAAAACCTAGGGGTAAGGGATACGAAACACAAAGCACCGTGCTTTAGACGCAATCGACACAAAACACTCCACGTCCAATCCTCTGCTATTTCTCATCATCATCGGTGTCAATTATCACCATTCTACCTATATAATATATGCTGCCTTGACGCCCAGTTTACTACCGTGCCAGATTTCTTTTTCTATCCAGAAACTGACAAAAAAAAGAAGAGAAAAGAAGAAAGGAAAGAAAATTTGATTATGTACATAACCCCGGTACCCATCTATGCACGCACGCCACAAGTACGCCGTCCATGCGCACCGCCTCAATAGCAAGCCGCAGAGAAATGTATTCCAACATCACTCCATCATGCCAAAAGCCACTGGCCACTAGCGTGGCGATAAACCAACATCAGCCTCACATTTTGATGCAGACGTAAAAGTCATGAGTTATCACACATAACCCACTTGGCTTTCGTGGCGTCTCCCCCAGCAGAGACAACTACTTGCGAAAGGGCCGGTGGTGAAATGACAAAATAGAAAAAAACAGGTATGCATGTCATCCAGGAAAAATCACAACGCTTCATGAAAGTCCCATCAACTGTCCTTGGTCAAGGTCCGGCAAGAGAGGTGTGTAACGTCGGTAAGCCTTCGAAGGAACCACGAAGGAGAAAGAAAAGAAAAGAAAAGAAAAAGAGGGGTATAAATTGAAAATTTGTGATGCTCACCCACGTATTTAACCACGTTTGGAGCAGAAGAATGAATCAAGAAAAAGAGATAGTCGGGTGCGGCCCAACTCAGTGTTGAGTTTGTGCTTCACAAGACAGTTAAACCTCTGCAGCCCTGAGGTTGGCACTCTTTTTCCTCCCAAAAAGAGTGCCTTTGCGTGATACGGAACCTGACTCCACTTCAGTCAAGTTGCCGCCCAGGTCCGTCTTTTCGCGCTGCTGCAGGCTCTGTTCGAGCTCTTGTTTGGCCCTTTGACGCCTTTCCTGTCGGCGTTCGTCAATGGCTCCCTGACTAAGATGACCAAATCCGTTTCTTCGCTTAAAGCAAGCTTCCATGAGAGCATTGGCGTCTAGCATTCGCCGGGGGATGGCCTGAACAACTCCAAACATTTCCATAGGGTCTTTGACCGCCTTGATTTCGCTCTCGCCGCTCTTGAAAATCGCCAGTGCAATGCGGAAGAGTGTCTTGGAGCCTTCATAGAAGAAGACATCCCAGACTCTCAGTGTTGTCTCAATGGGCAACGTCCCAATATAGCAGCTCATGAACCAAGCCGTCATGCACAGTGTAATTGGAGGTAGACGATCTGTAGATAATTTTGGATGTTCCCTTCGTCGCAAAATGGGCCTAGTTTTGCGTATAGACTTACTCGTGCTGGGCCTGCCCGTGGGAAGGTTTTCCAGTTCTCCACCAATCTTGTCCCATACCGAGGGCATCGTGTCACGCAGTTCCGTCATGAGCACACCCAAGTCCACCTTTGATCCTTCCAGGCTCATATCGTGTGTTCCCGGCAGGTAGATAATGGTGATTACATTCAACAACCAAAAGCATTGCTCTTCTGTCTCCACGAACAGCAGCAAGAGTCCAGCCAGGAAATTTAGACTCTGGCAGTAGCCAATACGGGGATTATAAATGGAGAAGGCATGCAAGACACGGCGAAGAGACGTGATAATCGGTGGCTCATTCGAAGCAGCAGGTAGCGGTCCCGGTGAGCTTTCATCCCCAGAGGAACCCGTCATTGTCGATTGGCTGGTTCGCTCGCTGTTGGGCACAGACTGGAAATTTGCTGATGGCTTGAACTGAATATTGTCCGGAAACGTCCTGTGCAGGTCTCGTTCAATTGCCTCGATATCCACCTGTTTAGCTGATTTATGCAAGAGCCTTTCGTATAAGCCGGCGTGTTTGGCCAAGATTGCCGGCCCACCGGCATAGTAAAACCACGCTGCTCCACGCCAATCGGGCGGTATCCCTTTCCTCACAAATCTCTTCGTCTTTGCACTTGGCGAGGGGAATCGAATGGGACGATCAGTCATCAGGGCACAGTCTTTGAGGTAGGCTACCCACTTCCGTCGTCTTCGAGCAATGTACACCGAGTACTCGGCGTTCCACGCATCGTACTGTTCTCTAGTAATAGATTGATTGGCCTTCTTAAAGCCATATCGGTCGCGTGAGCCAGGGTCCTCAGGCTCAACTGGCATCGGCGTGGCCGTTGGAAGTGCAGGCTTTGAGGCTGGGGGGGGTAAGTTCACAGTCGTTGGAAGTTCCTTTGCGGGAGCCGGGTCTGATGTGATTGACGGCTCAGAATCAAGTGACTTGGCCGAGTCCCGTTTTTCCGGCATATCTACATCGGCCTTCCCAGCTATAGCCGCCACAGATGCTGTGAAAGCTGGGCTGGTAAAGATCATCTTTGATTGACGGATTTCGGCGTCTAGTGTGGAACGGGCGGTTGGCAGTGGCGGTTCGAGGCTCTTATCAGCAACAGGAACGGTAAAGGGAATACTCGGAACAGCTGGAGCTGACCGAGTGTCAGGTTCTGATACAGCAGTCATAGGTCTCGAATCCAAGTTGCCTTCGCTCTCGGGATCATCGAAGTCACTTTCGTTTTCATCATCCGCAAAGCCCTTTTCGTACATGCCCATAACATCTTCCAAGCTGGGCTCATCGGGGTTCTCGAGGGAGGTGACAGAGCTGTCTTTTGTAAGAACACTACTGCGCTCTGTGACAGCTGTACCAGGGGTTGTTGAGGCAGTGAGCTGGGATCTGAAACTGGACCGCAATTCATCCCCGCTCAGCCAGGGAGCGGTCCCACCCGCGCCTGGGCTTGTTAGAGGTGTTGAAACGGGATACTCCGGGCGGCCAGGGACAGCAGGAGTCCGAGCGGGTGTAAGAGCTGGTGGACCAGTAACATTTCTTGCACGATGCCTTGACTCAATAAAATCGCTGTTTGTATACGGTAATGGAGAGGCGTAAGTGGAGGATGACTTGACAGAGGAGGCAGAGGGACGCCTGGGTCGTTGCCATGGAGGCGTTTGTGACAAGGGGTTGGCGAGATCCAGGAAGCGGTCTGTGAGATTTGGCATGTTGGCCTGTCGTGGCCTGATAGGGTCTGGAATATGAAGGTTTTCCGGTGGTCCAGCTTGACGTATGCTCTGCTTTCGGGGTCTTGAAAAATTCTCGACTAGAGGGGTGCCCTCTGATGAACGCATATCTGCCAAGGATGTTTTAGCTTTCATCGACCGACATGGTGATTCATTTCGAGGCTCTGGAGTGCCTATCCTTAGGCTGCGAGGGCTTCGCAGAGATGGAGATACAGCCGGTCCAGCTAGAGCGGGAAATGGTTGGGGTAGCATGGCCTCAGATAGCATTATCGGTGACACTCTAGAACCGGAGGTTGGACTCTGATTTAGTAAATGCAGCCCATGAGAAAGTGAGTCCCATCGGGGCGAGACGGGCAGTGGAGGTATCTCAGGTAGCTGTGGCACTTTTTCTCGAGCAGATGTATCGACAGTCAACGGCTTGATTCTCGAGGCGTACAAGGAATACTTTCGATTGCGAACGGTGTGTTGGCCAGGAGGAATCGAGCCTTCTTCGTCGGACTGAGGCACCGCCATAGAGTCCATTGTGGCTGCCCAGAGCCTAGGGCCAGCGGAGGAAGCTTGCGGAGTCTAGTCACTTGAATACCAGGGTTGAATGTAGATGAGCTGATCCCACAAGTGTTTCCGAAGATGATGGGGCGTGAATCCGAGTAGTGAGAGTAATCGGTCTGTGTTGCATGGATGCGAGACTTGGTATAGGAAGAATAAATCAAACACCACTGTTTCAACATTCGACTATCGTTGAATTAAGAAACATACAAGTCGCCATAGCCGGGACGATGCGCTCGCTCGGTGCTAGGCGGGAGATGATCAAACTGGGGGAAAAGCGTGTGCCGTAATAAATGAAGCCGATATTCTAATCGAATTGTCGAACAAGTGCGAGAGGGAGAGCGAGAAGAGGAAAGGCGTGGTTGGTCAAAGGAGCGTTCGGCAGCAGTGGTCGGTCGAGCCCTAGTATGTTGAACAGCCTGCAAGTTAGGAAAGAGTGGAAGCTAGAGATTGCTTTTGTCTCGTATCTCTGCGAAGGCCGCGATGGCTAGTTGTAGAAAGGAAGGAGAGACGGGGAATCGAGGAAAGGTTTCGACAAAAGAAGCGAAAACTGCGTTGGCAGTGATTGAAACGGTAAAGAGTGGCGCCAGAATAGAAGCAGCGAAATGCGGTGCCTTGGAACGTCGGGATGCGATACGTTCAATATTAAGCTTTGCCCTAAATGGAGGCTGTTGGGCAACCTGGTGTCGAGATTGGATGAAGTTGAACAGAGTAAAATTTGGTTGGGCAGACGAAACGCCGCCGGTGCAAAGTTTCCTGCGGCAGCTAGTGAGGCTTATGGCCACAAAATCCCCATCCCAAACCCAGGACCAAAGGCAGGCAGACGGCAGTTGAGGGGACAGGACGTGGTGGAACTCGGACAAGGAGCGCTCGGTCAGGGATGGTGACTATGCTGCGAAGCTCCCAGTGTTTGAAGTTTGGTGTTGTGGTGCCAGGCTGAGGCTGCGGCTGCGGCTGCGGCTGCGATGGGATATTTTTGCTCGGCTCAGATGTCACGGGCGACCTGGTCCGTGGAATGTCGATTCAACACAATGGGTTGAAATGAATAATAACAACAACAGCAGCAACACCTGGACAGGACAAAGGCACGGCTAGCGTGTTGTCCACGGCGACGCTCTTCCAGCAATGCGGCTGAAGGAGATGGGTGCGAGAGGCAAGACTCGAGAGTTGACAAACACACGGGGTGGAATGTGGGATGGATCTGGGGGAACAAGTCTGCACGTCGAGTCAAGCTCGATTTCTCCATCGCTCGTCGGTGCTACAGACAAGGCATCCGCCGCTGCACGAGCGCACGAGATGATCAAATGTACCGTCAGCGCTGACATTTGGGTCGGGTCTTGTTTGTTTTGCCCAAACCGGAGAAGTAAAGCTCAGCACTCGGCTAAGACAACAAGGGACAACTGTGGGCACGGCGATGGAGGCACTGGAGACTGTGCACGATGCTTGGACGGATCAATTTCCATTGACTCCATAGTGCCGACGACAAGATGGACGAGATAGCTGCACCAGGGACCAGGGCCATGACAAGCATGGACCGGATGCGTGGATCCCGCGGCACACAATCAAACGGTTCAAGTCATGGTCACGGCCCAAGGAAAAAGCAACAACGGTCGACAACGGTCGGTACTAGCACATTCGGGCAGCATCTGTGGGAGTCCCCTGCTGGAGAGACAAGAAAATTGGCAGCCTGCAGCTGCTTTCTGTAAGGGCGAGCCGCCCGTGTGTTCTTGGCTTCCATCCGGCCAGAGGATGAAGCCATCTCGAATAGAATCTGCCTGAAAAGTCTTGTATAATTCATTTCGGTGCCTGAGCGAGGACCGGGGGGGCTGATACTCGGTATCCAATACACGAGTTTTGTACGAAGCCTTCATGCGACGTGCAGGTACCGCCTACCTCCCCTCAAATAACAAGCCCTGTCGCGCTAGATGCGCGGCCGTGACCCGATCGCGCCGCGAAAAGGACCAAAGAGGCAAGCACGTCCCAGAATATTCCACAGTCACGTTGTTTACCCGGGACGCTGTCTCCTTGGGGTTCTGTGTTGCATGACGCGACGTGGAAAGTTGCATGGCAGTAGTCGACGTTGCAGGCTGTACTCGGCACTCTGCAGAGTTCTCAAGTGTCCAAGGACATCTCCAAGCCTGCGCCTCATTGTACTTAAGTAGGTAGTACTCCGTACTCCGTAGTTCTCCGGTAATACTTGACATGTTCTAAGTAAAGCACCCAGGAACCTGGGCGAGCCGGGGGCCGATGTCCCAGTGGTGAGTGACATGGACGGCCAAGACTGACAGGCCGAGAGGAAGGAACGCCTGGTGCTTGGTAGACTGTGCCCCGTGCAATTTACACTGGCAGCACTGCCAGTCTACGACAGGCGAAAGCCGAGGGGCCCAATCACGAACCACAACACGTCAACTGGTCCACGGCAAAAATTGAGGGCAGGAAGGCACGACCAGTTGGTCAATTGGCCCATTCGCTGTTGGCGGATTTGATGGCTTGCTAAACTCCGTCGCGAGCTGCTAGGCCAGCTGAGCTGCAGAGGCTAACAACTTCCATGCATTCTGTCAAAAGCCAAACTTGACCTCCAGTCCCGAGATGCATGTCGACGCTACTGCGGCCCTGAGGACGACCCTTGCAGCTTTCACAAAGACTTTTGTCGTCCGTGAGCTGTCGCCAACCCTGGCCCTGTCGACTAATTTCACCCAGAATGGGACCAGTTTGTTTCAATGTTTGGCACCATGGCGAATCTGGTCCAAAATACAGGCCATGACGTTCGATGACTCTCAATGAAGCTTGAGCGCATCACTCCATGATAATGGCTGAGGTCGCCATCTGTCCAAAGGACTGCATCCATTCAGCTTCGCCGTCAGACATCCACAGCCCCGGCAATATAATCCTGCCCAGGGCCCTTCCTCCTTCAATCATCCAGGGGTTGCTTTTTCCGTCGAGGAGTAACTACTATACACCAAAAGACAAAAAAAGAAAGAACACCGAAGTGGTTTCAAGCAGGCAAGCCAAAATCCTCCAGCAATTGGTTCCGGCACTTTCGACAAAACTAATTGGCACCCTGCTATAACTAGTACCTAGGTGGCTAATTGGCTCCGTCCACACAATAAACCAAGCAATACTCGCCGGCTACTCTTAGCTCTCGTCTCGTTGCCGATTCATCCAGCTTCAATGAGGTTGGCTCGCCATGCTCCAACGCTTCGCCAAGCCTGTTACCCGTCAAAGCTCTGGCTGACAAAGTACGGGCATCCTGGGCGGATCGCCGCCATGGTGCCTTCTTACGGAGTAGACTGTTGCAATATCAAGAGCCAGCGTCTGTTCTCCAACTTGGCCAGGAGCGTGTTTTCGCCTGTTTCAGACCCTTCCAATTGCTCAGTCGCCATCAGTCGACGCCACTTCGTCAGCCATGTCTGTGAAAGACCTTAAGCGAGCGGCATCGTTCATGTTAAATTTTTCGGCCCGTGAATCAGAACATCGGCTATTGCCTCAGCCACTTCTGTGCCTGTATAGTGCACTTTACAGAGTACAATAGATGTCTATGTACATAGAGTACAGCATGGCTTTCGGGTGAATACTCCGCATGTCTGTGGAGAAGGGCCCCTCGGGGAGGGGGCTTTCAACTGTTAGGCCTACTTGCTGCTCATCCACTCATGCAAGGGACTGAGCTGGTTTCCGGTAAGTTTTGAGCTACGTACTGAGATGGGCAGCCGCTACAGGCGTGAAATTCGCACGATATACTAGCTCATGAGCCTCAGTCCGGTGTCCTGGTCTCTGAAAGGGCCTTTCGAATCCATCATTATGCAAATCCTCCTCACAAGACACCAATAGCATGGATCTACAGGTTATCTGCCTACAATGCAAGGAGTGAGTTGAATCTCAGGGGTCGTGTTGCTGTCTTCACCCATGGGGAAATCATCGCCAGGCGCCACCACACCCATTTGCTCTTCCACATCAAGCCGGAGTTCTTCTAGCGCGGCCGGGTAATCCTGTTGGTCAATTCCTCAGCTCAACAAGGAACACGGATATTTTGACTTTTCTGACAACTCAGATAACGCGCGACAAAAAAAAAATACTCACAGCAAACCTAAACTTCTGTGTTTTCTCTCGCACGATCCAAATCCTGTAGAACGTGTGAATTACTAGTAGCCCTATTCAGGTGAGACAATACCCCAGCAAGTGGATGGATTGAGCGAATGGGCTGCAGGCAAGATTTCGTTCAGATATGGTAAACATATTTCCCGCCTGATTCGGCGAATGTTCTCAAAAATCTTATTTTCAAGCACGAGATCTCATTCACAAGGAGGACGATGAACAATGTCATCCTATTCTTGCATAGAATGAACCCTACTGCTTCAGCAACTCACGCAGAGTACAACATGCGACTCTCCATTGCATTCCATGCTGTGTCTTTCTTCTCGCATAAGTTTCATGCAAGGCACAACTTCTGTCTCACTCACGATGAACTCGGATATGTAAGGCGATCAAGAAACAGACATGGTTATCTGTTCCCGCTTGTCTTACCTCGGTAAGGATAACGCAGTCGTTTATTAATGCAGTCCCTTGCTTCGGGCCGCTAAGCCTTGTGCAAGTAAATTTATCCAGCTTGAAACTCTAGGTGTGCCTTTGGGCTCGTTGCTCCTAGTGAGGTACCGAGAACCTACGAGGAACATCAAATTTCCGTCTTTCAACTCGAATGCTACCAAACAGGTTTGGCATCGGCCTTGTTGCATAGAGCCCAACTCAGGCCGCATGGGCAAATACCGACTCAAACGGTTACAGCTCATCACTCTACGGCCTGATTGCAAATGGCGTACCCGTGGACCAGATCATGTTTGGGATGGATTACCTTGATGTCTTGTTCGAGGTGCCAGCGTGCCAGCAACAGTTCGAGCTTGCCACTGCCAGGATACTATTGCTTAGGTTTCGAACGAAGTACTACATATGACTCATACGTGGTATAGGTTAGCTTGTGGTTCAAATCGTGTTAACGTTGTCTGCTAGGCAAATCCCCACTGTTCGCATCACGAAGCCTGACCTCTGATAGATCAAGGAAGAAACAAAGGATCATCGTATCAAACCTCAAGATTCTCATCTATTAAAATTTGAGATTTATACTGCATTTGTTTTAAATTATAACGAGCCCAGCTATTCTGGAACACCTCCAACTCCGCGCTGCAAAGATCTGCATGCTATAGTCATATGGTTTGTGTCCGCCTATTTCGTTGCGACCAGCCCGGCAATCTCGTCTGACCACCAGCAAGACTTATCCGATCAAGTCTCCACGGAGAGGTTTTTACCATGTTGTGCACCGGGAGCTTTAGAACATTTTGGTGGCAAGCTGGGTTTGTCACCGGTAAACATAACGGGTAGGCCTACGCACGTCGTTCCGAGCAACATGCATCAGCCAATCCCATCGGCCATTGATGATTTATCCCTATTCATCATCTCATCCGTGTCAGAGGGCGAATTTCATACGGCCTGACACAAGTTTTAGCGACCGTCTAATTGGGAGTCGGATGATTGGAAAGCACTGACCGAAGGCCGGCTTGGTCCATGGGCCATGGCATTCATCCGTCCGAACCGATTAGTTCATGAAGTTGACAGCGTCGACCTAGAAGCCGTTTGCATTTGCTTCTCAGCAAGACGTGTCCTTCAAGCGACAGAGGCTGGGATTTGGACTCGAGAGGATCATCGGATAGTTTCAGGATATCCCCTTTGACTTCATCTCATTATGGTCAACCAAGATGGTGTTGATTGGCAAGTCTTCGGAATTGGCAGATTGCGCGATTTGAGCAAAGGTTACATATGACGCTAATTAATCGGTTCGCAATCTAGACGAGCCCGACCTCAGGAAAAGGGAGCACTGGCATGGCCTATTTCGCAATCCGGACACCGATTGTGTTAACTTGACAACTTGGCAATATCGGCCTAGCATATGGTAGGATGGCATCGCACGTCAATAATCATAGATTATGTGGTGGATGATGGAGCGCGTGCACGCATAATGTTTGCACAAATGAGATACAGGATTCGGTCACACTGCACGAATTTTCCGATTCGTTGACGGAACAGTCCAACACCCGTCAGAAATAGTCAAAAGCAGGCGACTCGCGGTAGTCATCTGTCCGTTAACCCCAGGGACTCTATTACAATAGCCAGTCTACAAATACATCAAACATCCTTTCCCAAGATTGAGTCATCTCGCAAGCACGTTGGAATTGCGACTCATGTCGCTGCAGACCGTCTGTGTCCCTATTTCTATCGTCACAAAAGCACGGTGACGTGCCATATACGATGACCACCGCCAGGGTGACAAGAGGGTGACGCGGAAGTTATCCAGCGATTGCAGATAGGCCAAGGAGAGGGAAAGAGCGAGAGAGAGGGAGAGGGAGAGAGATTTGACGATTGAATGAGCCACTACTCATCACCTCCTGCCGCAACGGCCTCGGGCTCTGCCTCTGCATGGGTTGCGGGAGGTTCAGTCGCCTTGATGGCTTCCTTGGTGGGTGCTTCATCTTTGGAGTCGGCGTCAGCGTCAGCGTCGGCGTCGGCGTCGGCATCGTCGGCATCAGCCTCCTTCTTGGAGTCGTCGCCGTTGGCAGTCTCGCCATTGGTGACTTCCTCGGTAGGCGCCTCCGCCGTCTTGCGCTTCTTCACAGGGGGTTGGTCGTCTTTATTGTATAGAAGGTAAGCAATTAGAGATGCGCTGATGTTGCGGCCAGTGTTCTGATGACGGCACGCGACTTACCATGTACGCCATTCTTTTCGGCCTTGGCATCTTCCTCGCCTTCACCTCCATCATCGGCTTCAGCCTCAGCCTCATCTTCATCCTCTCCTTCTGCTTCTTCGTCATCCTCCTCCTCTTCGGCGTCGTCTTCTTCTTCCTCGTCCGCGGTGGAGACATACCTATTAGCAGGCTGGTTAGAACATGTCGTCCGGGTTCGAGTGTAAGTAGCAGATGCGCCGAGCAGAATGCGCCGGAATGCTATTGCCTAGTCCGTGACCGAAAAAGACTGAGGATGCCCTGGTTCATCACAATTGATTTCTCAATTGAGCCGGAAATTTTGTCCCAGGGCGGATTTGATTGACAATGGCGCAATCCAGGCTGGGTGGCTGAGGATCTGGGCAGACACTCCGGGTGAGGGTTCGGATTTGGACGCAGACTTACTCCTCTTCCTCCTCACCATCATCCTCCTCGGGGAGAGAGACGAGCTCCTCCTCTTCCTCGTCCTGCTTTCTCTTTCGGGAAGACATTACTCCGTATTGGGTTGGAAAAGGATAAGGACCGGCTACCTGGATGAGGCGATTGGGGATGTAAGTGGGTGCCTGCCGAGGGAATTGGATTGGCAACAGATGGGATTAGGTAAACACAGCACGACACGAGAGAGAGGAGAATAGGAGGAGGAGGATGGCTAGGGAAGGTTGGGAGGGAGAAGGCTACTTGTACGTTTGGCTTGGACTGGTACGGAGTACTTGACTACGGCACCGAGGGACGAGGAGAGCGAGGACACCAGAGGGTAGAGGAGGGAGGGGACGAGGAAGCAACGAAGAGCAACATGAGCAAGCATGGAGCGACCTAGTCAGCGAGTGAGCAGCACACAAAGGCAGAGAAAGGTAGGGGGGTGCGATCAAGAGCTCCGTGGTGCTAAATACCGCCGTTTCATTAACGCCACGCCCAACTCTGCTCCTGGAGCCGTGGACAGGAACTCTTGGTGGTCCAACTGGGCAGTACGGAGTACACACGCAGCACTCTGTCCGTACGGAGCACACCAGACTCGCTGGGATCAACAAACTGGGCCAGGCTGGAGTCCCGAGGGGTACCAAGACTACCGGGCCAAGAAGTATGGACACAAGAAGTATACACAGCACCCGGCCTGGAGATCGCTCCGGCTCTGCACATTACATCCATACGGTACGGAGTATGGAGTACTGATTTTGGTTCTAGACCGAAACCAGCTCGCTCTTGTTTTCTGCGTCAGCCTCCAGTCTGAGGGGCAGGAGCTGAGATGCCGGGACGTGAACTGGTTCTTGGTACCGTACTGCGTTACTGAGGTAAGGGGGGACCACTGACTGCAGCGCGACTGACGTGCGGTCCTCTGGCCACCAGCCTCGTGTTCAATTCACCGTGACCCCAGCCTAGAGGACATGTTTGCCTATGGGGAGCGAGATTCCACTGCCTTGGACACTTGGTCGGCTCGCCCACGGCGACGACGGGTAACGGGTAGCGGGTAGCGGAAAGCAAGCCCTACAGTACTCCGTATGGCGGAGAAAAAAAAACGCATAGTTCATCACGTCAGTCAGAGCCAGGCTGCCGGTCAGGGTATGCAATTCCACAGAGTTCTGCGTACTCGGTACATACGGGGAGAGGGCGAGGCGAGGGAACTGGCCAAGGAACTTGGGTCGATGAGCAGGCTGGCAAAAAACAAGAAGCAAGAAGAGGATGGCTGGTTGGCGGGGTGGAGGATGCCTGGATGCGGCGCCTCTCTCTGCTCGTCACGTCGTCACCAATTGCGGAGCTTGGGGCGTTTGGGGCATAATCTGGAGACAGAGACATGGAGCCGGCAAGATGGAGGCTTTGGCCACCATGGTCACTATGGCGCAACCCCCAAGCTCTCCCCTGCTGAGGGCTTGAGTTGGAGCAATGACGGAGTGTCTGCCCGGCTGTTTGTTTGCTTCGCCGCGGGGCGTGGGATCGGAGTCCCATTCTAGGTCTGTGCAACAGGGTGTGTCTGTAACGCTTCGGGTTCAGTCCTGCTCTCTCAGTCTTGCGCTCCCTGGCGTCTCTCTCTCTTGTCGTCTGTCTGTCCTGCCTCTTTGTCTCTCCGTTTTCCCGGCCTGTCTTGCGCCGACCTTGCGCTACGGCTATCACGTATGGGTAGCTGCCTTTAAGCCGCAGGCTGAATGGCTGCATGGTTGGATTGCCCTCGGAGCAACGGTCTAGTGTTTAGGGACCGTCGTCGTTCTTTTCCTTGTTCTCGATCGAGGCCCTCCGCTCACCCAACGGCCGTCGAGGCTGCTTGGAGGCTGAGACGCTGCATCGCGGTGCACCTCACCCCGACCCTTGCTTGGCGAAAAGGCTGAGGGAAGCCGACAATGCGCATTGCGTCAAGTCTCATAAGTTGCTTCGCGCGTGGACGTGCAAAGCATTGCGCCCGGAGTCGTCGACCTTGACAATTCGTCCAGCCACCCAGACCACCACTTCAGCCCACGCCACCATTCTCCAGTCTTTGTGTTATTTTCGCTTGATCCACGGAGCACTACTCCTTACTTGATCCTTTGTAACTGCTGACTGTCGTCAATTACCTCGAGGTATTTGGTCAAGACGCTCGCCTAGACACGGTGACAACCCAGGTGTCTCGCCATTGATCTGTGGGAGTTGTGGCAGGGTAACGGCCGCCCTCTCGCCGCACGCAACGGATTGCCATCAAGAGATTATAATAATGCTTGGTGATGCCAATTGAGCATGTGATTGCTTTTTTGTACGTAGACCAGTGCTTGCCAGCTTGCCACGCAGTCCTGGCCCGAAAAACGTAGCCTAGAAGGGGCAGAGTCGCATCATGACGGCTAGACCACCTATACGGAGAACGGCCGACTAGTATTGTCAATTGCGCCTTTTAACACGGCTTTCTCTGCCGGTGCACTCGATCCTCACCGATTCAACACCCATCACAGTATACATACGCACGTACAAAATGAGCAAGCCTCTTGCGCCCGTAAAGGACATCGACCACCTGGTGCTCACCTGCAGCGACATGCAAGCCACCATCACCTTCTACACCAAATACCTCGGCATGACACTCGAGACATTCACCTCGCAAGCGACGCCGTCTATCCAGCGGAGCGCGTTGAAGTTTGGCACGCACAAGATCAATCTGCATCAGAGGGGCAAGGAGTTTGAACCCAAGGCGCAGACGGCGCAGCCGGGGACGGCGGATTTGTGCTTTCTCGTGGCCGACGGCGTTGATTTGGATCGTGTTGTGAAGGGGTTTGAGAGCGCTGGTGTGGAGGTGCTCGAGGCGGGCAGGGTGGTGGGGAGAACAGGAGCAATGGGAGCCATGAGGAGCGTCTATGTTCGGGATCCGGATGGGAATCTAGTAGAGTGAGTGGTGGGCAGAGCTTGGGATGGGATGATTGCTAACGCTTGCAGGCTGTCGAGGTATCTCTGACTGCGGACTCGATGGGGAATGCCGGGCATGGAGGGGATGAGTGAGGCAGCACCACGATGTGTGGGGGGTTTACGGGACGGAAGCTGTGTGTAGTTGCGCAGTGGCGGGATAGATTCCGTATTACTACTCCGTACTCGGTACAATAGACGGATCGTGCCCGCCGTCAGCGAGAAACGAATGGTGTTTTTGACGACATGGCGGCTCTGGCCATCTCTGCCGCGGAGCCGGCGCCGGCGCCAGCCAACCCACGAGCGCCGTCGGGAGCCGGGCGCCACACAGCAACCTCGGCTCAACATGCTCCAAACTCCAAGCTCCCCATCCGCAACTCCAACCGCGCCCTCGCCCGCTCGTGGCCATATTTCATCACACCATTGCCAGCGCAACCATTGCACATCATCATTGACTCGCCCGCCAACATCGACTGCCGGCCTACCAGCTTCTTGGGCCGCGCGCAGCGGAGCCCCCAACCCCAAGCTCCATCACCACCTTCACCACCACCACCCTCATCATCACCATCATCGCCATCATGTTCGACCCGTCGCCCCCGACCCCCGACTGCCCCTTTTGTGCCATCGCAGCCGCCCACCAGCCCTACGACCCCCTCCGCCCGCCGCCCTCGATCCCCGGCGACCTCACCAGCCCGCCGTCCTTCGTGGTGCTCTCGACGCCCCTCGTCGTCGCCTTCCTCGACATCATGCCCCTGTCCCGGGGCCACCTGCTGCTCTGCCCGCGCGAACACCGGCCCAAGCTGACCGACACGACGCGCCGCGAGTCGCGCGCCCTGGGCCACCACGTGCGCGTTCTCTCGGCCGCGCTCGCCGCCGCCACGGGCGTGCACGACTGGAACGTGGTGCAGAACAACGGCGCCGCCGCCGCCCAGGTCGTGCCCCATGTGCACTACCACGTCATTCCGCGCCCGGAGATTCGCGCCAGCGGCCGGGTGAGCGAGAGCTTCACCATGTTTGGGAGGGGGCAGCGCGCTGAGCTGGACGACGACGAGGCCGCGGCTTTGGCGGCGGGGATACGGGCCGAGGTGGCGAGGGTGCTGGCCGACGAGGGGGATGGTGAAGATGAGATTGGGAGGAAGGCCAAGTTGTAGGGTTTGGGGCGCTTGGAGTGATACCCTGTTCTTTTATTTTGGAGGAGCATGTTTTGACCGTGTGCGGTGCGGAGTAGATGGCATTTTTTGTATGATGGGTGCATATAGATGGGGGGTTTTGCATAATTAGATGTGGTGGTGTAGATTTGACGCAGGCTTCGGTTTTACGTTGTATATAAGTAGCGGCTCTGGCTTGTGGCGTGTCTGAGCTGGATCAACTTGGGCTTTTGTAGTGGTGGGAACGCTACGATGGATGATATTGTGTTTGGAATAGAAGCATAGGTTGTGGTTGATTACGTAGGCATGACTTCGCAAGTGTTTTTCGTTTTATTTTCAAGACAGATAATAATACAAGCATGACATAAGCAGGCATAACTTAAAATATTGGTTTCAAGTTGGTAGGAACTAGGGGTGATGCTGTCATGTTTGAAAGCATAGGTTGTGGTTCATCACGTGGATTGACTCTTATTTCTACTCTTAATAGCTGGTTGGAACAAACTATTGATATTGCCGTGTTTCCAATGTAGACGCATGTTTTGGTTGGTCCGTTAGGCAGTCTTGATATGGCTATTCAGACCTATATCACCAGGTACACATATCAGTATACGCTGAGATGACCACAATTGTATTTCCATTCATTAGGAAACTTTCGAAAGCGCTTTACCCAAGTTTTCGTCTGATGGAAACGCAGGCGAGCCAGTTGGCGTTAAGCTGCAGCTTCCAGCATTGCCTTAATACGATATAATGGGAGCGCCCCAATCTGATGAATTAAAGGTAAAAAACTCATGAGCCACTGGTTCATGAAAGTGGCATCCGCTATTCGCGTGCAAACGCATCGTCAACCTCGCACTTATGTTACTAACGCCAAAGCCGGCCCCCGGCAGGGGAATATACAAAAAAAGTCTTAATTTCACAAAAACGCATAAATTTAGCAGCTCGATGGCTCAAATTCAGCGGCAGCCCGGCCCTCTTTCCTTTCGCTACCCCAGGCGAACAACTCGTCGGCATCAAGGCCCTGTTCACTCGTCGTCGCCGAAAAACACCCTGACAGGCAGCCAGGCGTCCTTGCAGACCTTGAAGCGCTCCTCGACGGCGTCCAGGCTCGCGACCTCGCCGTCGGTCAGGCACCACCCGTCCAGGGCAAAGTTGGCCTCGATGCGCGCGGGCGTGACGCTCTTGGGGATGACGCTCCAGCCCTTTTGCAGCCCCCACGCGAGGAGCACCTGCTGCGGCGTGCGGCCCTTGGCGCGGGCGACCTCGAGCAGCGTCTGGTTCGTGTGCAGCGGCGAGTCGGTCGAGCCCAGGCACGAGTAGCCCGTGCTGTGGATGCCCCTGGCCGTGTTGTAGGCCACGAGCTTGGGCGACGGGTTGCAGGGGTGCAGCTCGATCTGGTTGACGGCGGGGACGATCTAAGGACGGTTAGATGCGGTGTTTTTCTCTCAAGGTGCTGGTCGTTTCGCAATAGCCGCCGCCGTGCACACGTACCTTGCAGCTCTCGTCGGCCAGCAGCTTCTCCAGGTGGGCGATGCCAAAGTTGGACACGCCAATGTTGCGCGCCCTGCCCGTGGTTGCGAGCCTCTGCATCTCGCGCCAGGTGTCGACAAAGTCCCAGTCCGGCACGAGCTTGGTGTTGTCGTCTGGGTCCGTCGCCGCCGGCCAGTGCACGAGGTACAGGTCGACGTAGTCGGTGCCCAGGTTCGCGAGGCTCTCGTCCAGCGCGGCGGCGGCGCGCGTCTGGTCAGGGTTGTTGAGCTTGGTCGTGAGCCAGATGGAGGAGCGCGGCACGCCCGACGCCTTGATGCCCGCGCCGACTTGCTTCTCGTTGCCGTATGCTGCTGCCGTGTCGATGTGGCGGTAGCCGCGGCGGAGAGCGGCCTCGACGGCCTCCTGGACTTCGCTGGGCTTGGATTGCCATGTTCCCAGGCCGATGGCGGGGATTTTGGCTCCCGTGTTGAGCGTATATGTGCGGCTGCGCGTTGTGGCTCAAGGTCAGTTTGCTGTTGTTGGAGAGTTGAAGTTTGGCTCGGCTGACTCACGAGGTTTGGTTCGCCATGGTTTGGAATGTGGTGCTTGGATGGTGATGGCCCTGGCCCCTGATGGGGACGACTGAGGAAGGGGAGCAAAGTTGAATCCCTCCTTCGAATGCAAAGACCGCTCGCTTGGGTAGCAAAAGAAAAGTCACCCAGCGCTCTGATGTGTCCATTGTGCCAAGTTCGTGGTTTGCTGCTCCCCCTCTTCTTGTATTACACGAAAACACCATGCGTGACCACGGACCAGGCGTGACGTAGCGAGTGACTGACTACTTCTCCACACTCGGTTCGACTTGGCGTTTCAACTCGGCTGTCGCGACTCGAAGCAGCACGTCTTTTCAAAGCTGGCAAGGCCAAGGTAGTATCCTGCCAGTTGACAAGGTTGCAAGGTCATGTTGCGTTGTTGTGTGTCGTTGAACTTGTGGTGGCAACGGATCAAAGTGCAAAACCACGGTAGATCTCGACTCCTGCTGGGGCTCATCAACCCTCTGCTGGTCATCGACGTGTACTGGAACTCAAGATACACGCGCGGATAACCAGCAGAGCCACGATGAGCCCCGGCAGGATTCGACATCTGCCGCGGTTCAGCACCTTGACCCTTCAAACCTTGATCAAGCTACAAGGTAATGCGGTTCCTTGGCAATGGATGCGGCTTGGTTTTTGTAGGTCAGTGAGACAAGTGGTCTGTCATCTAGTAGAAACGTCGTTAGAATACTTACGAGTAGGTTGATGTGCCACATGCGGAAGAGCAAGGTATAGGGTAGGATAGTTGTTGTGCCGATTTCGAGATGCAGACTGCGGGAAGATTTTCCGGCTCTAAGGAACATGTGCTATTAGCTCATGAGACATATTTATGCACCAGTGCTGCCAAATTTAGGACAACCTGGGGGGCATGGTTATGGCCGTTTGAGACTATGCGCAGATTAACTAGCTGGTAGCTACTAGTACACGCGGACACAGTTGCCATACTCCTTCAACATCCTTCCAACAAGGACAAGTCCCTAGATAGCAGGAACAAAGCATGCGAAGAAAAGTGTGGTTGAGAAAGAATTTCCGCTTACGAAGGGATATCGTAATAGTGTCAATAGGCTCAGCGGCAAGGTGTTGGCGCGGATCCAGATTCTATACAACAGCCGAATCATCCGGTGGTGCAGGCTCCCATATACCCTGTTGTGAAAGCCGAGCCGACGAAATGATTCCGGAGTCAGCAGCCGATTGTTGTTGGACCAAAATTTTCGAAGGATCGGTGCGGGAACTGCGGCTTTGCCTTGCGATAGGAATATCTGATTTGCTATCATGATTCCTAGATATTGTTGGATTCCGGTCCACATGTACTGCACAACCCATTGCGTGTATACATCTTCTGTGGGTTTTCTGAACCGAGATATAGCCACGATAATTACGACAGGCAAAAAACCAAAGAACAAGGTACTATTGATGTTAGCTATGAGGCCGCAGCAAAAGGTTCTAACAGTTTGGAATGTACATTAGGAGCAGGGTGCGCCTTGCAGACACACCCTCACGCTCAATTTCATGTGACGCACTGATAGTGACGAATATATCTGGTAGAACGCCGTCAGATATAGCTTCGTCGGGAGTAAGCAGCCGTAATCGCGCGTCTTGCTGGAACCCGGGAATCCCAGAAACCCACTTCTGGCCTCCGTCTTCCTCGCCCGGCAGATGCAATGTTACAGGTTCGCCTTCTTCTGTTTGCAGAACCTTGCCGACTATGCCGTGAAATTGTAGGTTGTGCTGTGACCTTATTTCCTGCATGACATCGTTCTCAACAAGAAATAAACAATCATATTGTGGGACAAGGGCATTTGCAAGCAGGTTGACTGCAGCCATTACCGCGTAAGGGGCGACAGTGAGAGAAAAAGCCGCAGAGCCATACAAGTCGACCTGGTTCCCCTCGGCCCGAATAAGAACGAAAATAGAGTAGCAGAGCTGAAGAAGTGCAACGAGGCTTTTCGTTGCATTTCGCCTTTTGGACAGCAGTTTTAGAGCTGTCAGTCCGTCGCAGGGTTCTGCAGCAGGTTCTACCATCGAGTTGATTGGCACATGGGCCAACAGATATCCTGGCACAGAGGGACATTGGCCGTATATTTCAGAGTCGGTGTTGACTAGATCGGAAGCCTGCGTGGTGTAAATGACGGCGGTTTCAATCGGCTGCTGGCTTCCGCTTTGCCCAACAACAGTACTTGCCGATGAAATGATGAGCAAAAGATCGGGCAGATAGACGTGTTCTTGAACATACCTGTCCGAAGACAATACATCTTCAGAAACGGGCTGTATTCGCTCGGACTGTTGTCTATGGCTATTCCCTATTGCTTGCATCATGCAAAACAAATGGCGGGCTGTCAGGTCAAACGAGAGACTAACATACAAGCGAAACAAGGCCGGCAGTGACCACATGACTGAGCTTCCTTGCCTGGAGACCGCATGGAATAGACGCCAGATAGTTAGTCGATTCTCCTGAAAGGGAGAGGTGTTCACCATCGCTTTAACCTGTACAGTCTGGCTGCTGGAGCACGACCTGATGTACCAGTCATCAGCCCTCACGTATATGCAGAGGGCGCGTGCTAGAGTGGCTTTTCGTAAACTAGACTGTTTGAAGCCCTTCCGAGCTTGATAGATAGCCAGCATGCCAAAGGCGAGACCTGTTGACGGCACAAGGAGCGATCCTAACATGAACCATGCAGTTGCAATGGGTGAGCTTGCGGGCGGCGTTTTGACAGTTGCCGCATGAGCAACATAGTTTCCTAGTATGAAAACAGCGATGTCGTTCCATCTCGTTGGAAAGCAAAGCAGATGAGGGTTGCCATGGTTTGTTGTCCCCTCGGGAAGTGTGAAGTTGAGATTCTAGTCCTTCTATTAGCAGGTGAACTACACAAAGGTATCAGGGGCTCCAGGTGTAGAATGTGTTTGAAGACCGATTACAAACCTCCAGTTTCATGATTCCGACTAGGGGAGTTTAGCACACAAGTTCCGTAACTACTGGGCTGTGAAGTAGGAGATTGCTTGCACAGCGTCGTGGCAAGACATCTTTTCGGAGTAGATGCCATGCATTTTTATAATTTTTCTCGCAGAAGATGAGGACAGTCCCGACCGGAGCCTCATCACGGACAAAACACATTTAATTGAGGGGTAAACGGCGATACACGACATATGTCGTCTGCGTGTCTATCATACTTGGCCTACTTGCCGTCATCCCAGACCGACGAGTTAAAACGCAGCTTCTAATCACGGTAGCAAATGTGTAAAGCACCTCGGGCCGGGTAGTTCCCTCGGTGTAGACGGCAGAAGCGCCTACTTGCTAGACTTACTAGGCTCGACGGGGAGGGCGACTGGGTTTTGTGCCATATTTAGAAACGCCCAGGCAATTGTTCGGCGTAATTTATCCCAAAGCATTTATCTCTCATGCATTGCAGCCATGTCGTGGCCTGTTGGGCTTCAACTCCCAGTATTGTCTCGGGGTGAGAGCCTGGCGTTTGCCAACACCAAGCCAAATTGCTTGTGGTAACACCACATCAGCGGATGTTAGCCAAACCCCTCCCGCAAGCATGATATTAGCACAGCTTCCTGTTGTCTTCAACACCTCTTCGACATGATCGGTTTTGGAACGCTGAATGTCGGTGACGTGGTGCAGTGTAGTTGGAACACGGTAGCTGCTCTTGTTCGCTTATATGGCCGCGATTTGCCTCCACACAGGGGCCGCTTCACCAGACTTAGTATTGATGGATTGCGATGGTGCTTGGGTCATCTTGGTCGTCTCCGTCTCTTGCAGACTCGAGGCTGCAATCATGATTGAAGCCGTGGCAAGTGACAATATGTCGTGCGACGGGTTCCGCTTGTCAAAGCCCAAACAGAGCCACCCACGAATGTTGGTCCAGGCCAGCCATACATGTCTCTATCAATAGCAGTGTCGTTGCCTCGCTGGACTTCAGGCCATCTTCAGACCCATCACGAGCCGACCCAGAAGAGGAACATGCTGCAAACTGGAAGTGGTCGGGCAAAATTCGTTTCTTTAAGCCAATGTTGCTGCCATTATAAATGGAATAGATATGAGGCTCGGAATCTGAACGATGGACAACTCATCCAGAACTGGTCGTGTCGTCCCTATCAAGGGCATGCAGGCAATGTGCAAATTTCGCGGCCTTGTGATGCAGCAGGGAGAGGTGAGGGCAGCACGAGGAGCTTGCAGAGTCTACGCCCTGAGGATGTGTGAAGCATGAAGGGAGATTGACCTTACTACTCTGTGCTGGAGGCTCTGCTGGAACAGGCGAGTAGTCACGTGAGGATAGTATTGGTCAATGTCAGAGAACACGCAGTTAGTGGTAACAAAGGCAAGTGAGGAAGGCAGTGCTGCCTCGGTCTGTGAGTTTTGGCGAATTTGTGCCAGGGTTCTTCCAGTTCAGGGTTTCTGCCAGCTCGCATCCACCTGTTTAATAACTATGGTCCTTCTTCTATAGGGAGTACGTGATAACATATTTTATATTTCTGCTCTACGTGAAAAGTTGTATTTCTATTCTATAGAGCCAAAATACTAGGTCATAATATTAATCTGTTGTATAATGTTACCTCCCGGAATTGAGCAACTAGGCGGTGTGTGGAAGTTCAAATGTTACCAGTGGTCACACTCGTAGCTAGCATGCCGGACCTAACCAGTCCCAGCTGGTTTGCGGGGTCTGGTGTGTTTTCTCCGCGCGTTACGGAGCAATGCATGGGGGATTGATTTCTTGGCAACCCCAACGGCCCATCTCTTTAGCTGTCATTTGGCTCGTGGGGCCATAATAACCGTGAAGTGCTAACAAAAACTCGCTGTATTTATATTAGTGGTTATTAACTATAAAATCGGCTTACTAGCAGGAGAGTATTAAGTGACTTGTATTAACAAGAGATTTTTATTAGGTTATTAGGCACTTTTTGACCCTACACGCTCTCTATAATAATTACCTTTAATTGGCTCTAATTGATCAGACTCCTCTTGTCACGCTCACCTGGCTAAAACATTCAGGGTCCG